AGTATGTTTGGGATTCTTTGTGACTAATTCAATAAGTAGTTGCTGCAGGTTTGATGATTATTTCTGCCTGTAGTATTAATGACAAGGTAATCCTCCCATAATTTGTTAAGGTTGTTCATCTGAAAAATAATTTATAAAAACTGTTTTTCTTACAACCTTCTGGAAATTAATAGCCATACAGAGAGTTCTCATTCTTCTTCTGTAGGTTCTCATTTTAAGATAATTGCCCCTGTAAGCATATTTTGAATTATGGTGCCAGAAGCAATGAGAAATAAAAGTTTTAAATGATTAACTTTCTCTTCTATTTGCAGAAACATCTGTCTGGTTTAGAAATAAATCTCTTGAACAATTACATTGATAGATTTCTTTGCAGAGAACAAGCAAATTTGTCTCAAAAACCCTTAAAAAGTCAAACTCCTCTGAGTCCTCCAGATGCTGGATTTCTTGCTCAGTTTCACCTTGTCTTAAAAAGAAAGTGTCCATGGGTCACCTGCTGTCAAAGACCCTTCCAGTATCATCAGAAACCTCAGACCTCAGTTTGTGTTGATGTATCCCAGAGCACACCAAGAAATCTGCTCATACTTACTGTTATCAAGCCTCTCCTCCAAGGTTAAATGAACCGTGACTTTGTAAATTTACGTGTGCCGTTGGTGTTGTTTGATCCAAATTCAGGTTGGATGGTCTTATGACTCTAATTTTCCTTTCTCCCCTTTTGACTGCACATCTGTCCAACATCTGCTCATGAGCACTTGTCATCTTCTCCTGACAGGAGTGGAGTCATGGGGTGCTAAACTAACCCTGTCCTCTGACTTTCTTTACATTCACACCAAAAACTCCCTGTGAGCACAAGCAGCTGCTGCTTTCCCGATCTGTTTCATTAATAATTCACGACGCTTTGTTCGCTTTAAGTCTTCATGTGGAATTCCTGACAGACCCAGTACGGCGAGCTCAGTCTTGATTGGGAATTGAACTTATTCTAACAGCTTGGAAATGGGCCAACGATAATGTAAGTCACATTTAAAAATGCATGAGTAAATAAAAGCTCTGCAATAGGAGTGTTCCTCGAACAGCGTTACCCTCCGACAGAGAGCCTAATAAAATCCAGTTGTCTTGAATTCATCTTCACCTCTGCACCTCCTCTTTATTTCATCATTCATAAACCTTATCGCTCCCCAGCAAACCGTACACTATCATCATGCTGTCAACCATCATTCCCTTATCAGCCTCATCTCTGGCCCATTTCCTTTGCTTTCTAAATCAAACTAAAACAGATCGACCCATTAAGTAAGGGCCATAACTCAGCAGCAGTAAGCAGTAAGATAAACCAGAACCTCTGAGCTCTTAAATCTCACAAATTTTGTTGTAAATCTTTCGTTTGGTTTGAAGAGGATGGATTAACATCTCTGTGTGGGTTTAAGAGGGAAAAATAACCGCAAACACTCAACCTGTGCCATGAGGGACACTATCAGCGCCCGAGTACTCCTGCATTGCCAGTTTTACATTGTACTTACAGCGCATTGTTTGGGTTAGAATAGAAGTTTGGCTTAGAGGTGTAATTGACACATCCTGTACAAGCAACTCATAGTGGGAACAGACGAGGCGAAAAAGAGATTCATAACTGGCAAACTGTAAAAAGGAAGCAAAACACTTCACAGCGAGCGCACATGCCAAGTAAAACACGGGCTCTTCAGTGGGGGAGCTGAGTACGTGTGTGTAACTGTTCACTCTGAGTGTGTTCAGGCATGACTGCAGCGCCTCAACATCTATCAGAGAGCAGGATGAAATAATGCTAGGAGATTTGGACGCTCATCTGCAATTAAAATTAAACATATATGCCTGTATAAACATCCATCTCCAGTGCGTGTTTGAGGGAATACTCTCTCTACCTTCCACACTCAGAGTCACTCAGATCAACATTACTTTGTGTGGAGGAAGAATAATGATGGTTTAAGCAAAGAGCACACGTGCGTCTCTGAAACAGCTTTCACAAGCAACTGGGACTCCTGGAGGATGAGGCCTCCGTCTTTATTATGCAGCCTTTTAGTTTGTGGTGAATTTTAAGTTGATTTGAATTGACTGAGACTGAATGTCTGTTAATAGATAACCACTTCATGTATTTAAAGGGCGTATCCGTGCATGTTTAAGAGGGAGCTGTGGCAAGCTATGGTACTCAAGTCACTTGAGTCAGTCAGAGAGTTTGCATGTCGTTCATAACATTGTCACTGTATTAGACCAACACCACCAATAACAATATAAGTGCAATATTTCTCCATACACCCCTAATTATTTATTAATCATGTGCAATATCATCATCATCACATCCATACCTGTTTTTGTTGGCACTAATCTTTTTGATCTGTTTCTCTTTTTTATAGTTTTTACATGTCTTTTATACTATTCTTCTCTTGCACTGCTCTTTCTATTCTATTTTTCATTATTTCTTTTATCTTTATTTATTTGTTTTTGTACCCGGTATGTGTGAATGTGTGTGTTGTGTGTACTGCTGCTCTCAACAATTTTAATTTCTCCACAGAGGGATAAATAAAGGAATATCTAAACTAATCTAACAACCCATTCATTGCCTTAGTCTGACTGAAACTAGACTTTTAAAAGTATGTAAGCACATTAGTCCAACAGAAGTCTGACTAACACACATGCACAGTTAAGTCAAGTTACAGCCATAGCTAGTTTAAGTGATGTAACTAGACTGCTGTCCTTGTCCCAGTTTACAAACTTCTGTGTGAGGTTGAAGTGCTGATATTTCTCCACTAAATGAACAAACTTAAACAGCTTTACTTTGGAGCAGCAACTCTAACAAGACTGGACGTCTCAGTCACAAATGTAAATTGTAGGGTTGGTTTGCTACAGAGCTGCAAATTGGCTCATTTGTCATCCGAAAGCAGCAGTTTCTATGTTGTGTCCAGCTTATTTAAGGTTGAAAATGAAGCTGTTCTACATAGTGTTCTTGCTTTGATACCTGGGTGTGCAGCATTTCTTTCTGTCTTATTTCTGATGTGGTTTAATAAATGTATATCAAATGCTATCTGCAGCATGTTTTCCTATTGTGCTGTTTTGTTATGTTTTTTTTTTTCAATCTTAGTAGTTTCTAAATTTATAACACAATTCTGCAAATGAGAGTGCTTTACTGTTGTTACCTAGCATGGATCAGTGTCCAAGTCTTTCTTTAATGGATTCCTCTTGCACATTTTTGATTTTGTCCCATTTTCAACCAGTGAGTTTAAAACTACTCTAAGATGCTAAACAACCCTGGCTTAACACAGACCCATCTCTTATTTTTGCATGTGGCTTGAGTGTCAACCGATCCCTCACAATGTCCAAAACAAACTGCATTCCTGTGACTACAAAGCTGTTTAATTTAAACATTTCGTCTTCTTAAGTGGGTTTTTCGGTGGAAGTTCGTTGACCTGGAGCAAGCAATCAGCAGGCTGCAACATCAGGAAGATATTGGCAGAGTTCAGGTCAGACGAACAGGTCCTGTGTGGAGAAAATCATCTGCAGAAGAAAGACCGGGGGGAGGCGGTGGCTGTGTCAGAGGTCGCCATGACATAGCAGGAGGGCTTCAAGATCAAGGCAATGTAGCAGAGTACAATCAGCAGCTCATTCACTCGGTTTGACCTCTGGAAATCCCTGCACTGCTTCCCATTTGGAGTAAATCACAACAAGACAGTGACAGGATCAGATTGACCTAATGAGACCGAAACCTGTGGACAAGAGAAAAAAGGAACTGCAAAACTGTCTTCAGATGTTGGTAGAAGAGGTCTATAAACGATAATAAGCCTCTTTGTCACAGAGGGATAGGGTGCTACTGTTTTCATTTCCGCTTTTTTATGAAGAGGATGCAAATGAAAGTGGCTCCACAGCAAAAATAACACTGTTATTTCCTCTGGATTAAAGAAATCAGTTGAGGATCACATCGACACTCTTCCCCTCGGGCAAAATAAAAAGGTTGACCTTAACAAGGAGGTCTCCCAGGCAGAACAACACATCCCTCTGCCCAGACGTAGCGGTGTCGTCTTGGTACACCAACTCCCTTTGCTCATGGCTGGAGGGGCTTTCCTGTTAAAGTGCGAGTAAAGTCACAACTGGGCCTCAGTGCTAATTGCAAAGAGGTAGACTGTGAAGTTGACACTGTTCGCAGTGTAATAGGTGTTTCTGGCCATTGTGAAATCAGAACTGATGAGCAAATTACAGTTCAAAGGCTCGGGTTCTGATTACGGCCTTCACCGTCTCTGTTGTTTGGAGTTCAAGTGATTGCTGTTGTTCATTTTATTTAGCTGAGAGAATTTTCCAAACATATCAGAGCTTTATTTTCTCAAGGCTAAGTTATTGGCTGGCAAGTAAGCTGGTTTTTGAGTTAATGAAACCAAGATGCTTGTTTCAGTGTTATCTGAGGAGCTGAAGTTTTGGACATTTCTGTAGTTGCTTTCTAACCCACCTTGGTGGTTTGTCCACATTTCTTCTACAAGTACCGAACCGGTGGTAACATAGACAGTAAATACAAAGCCATGAATTTACCACTTGTTTTATTCCATGAGGAAACACTTCAGGAAACTAGATTTCCTCCTGAATGCAAGAGAGTAAACTGGTTTAAATTATGTAATCTAATTCAAATGTTTGAGGAAAAGCTTCTGCCTTTTATTTTCCTCTTGGTGGCAATAACTGGAAAAAGGGTTTTCTTTGTCACTTTTCCACATAGCCCATTTTTTCAACCAGGCCAAGACTTGCCTTGGGTACAATGTATAAGTCACGTGACAGCGGGGACAAACCACACAAAGTAATGTTATGTTTTAGCTGGGTTTGGATAGTCCGGTGTTTTGTGCGTGAATTCAATGCCTCAAATGGAGCAGAAAATGCATTTCCAAAACACATTCCACTGAAGCGTCCCAGTTAAACCACATTATTTCAGACATTTCGGAGCATGGAGGATACTTAAAAGTGAGATTATTTTGACAAAATCCAATAAATCACTGACACAAAATGTTCTTTTCTACGTCTTTAATACATAACAAACACATGTTCCATATTACAATACCAAAGGGAAGCCTCTGTTCGTGTATACACATGTTCATGTCTCCAGTCTTCTCTAATCGCTACATGAGATCTTTCAGTGTAAAAGCATACATGTGTAACCAATCACATGACTAAATGTCAGCATATCAAAAGGATATGATGTTTCCTACAACAGACAGTGAGTCATTGGTAAAACTCAGTGTTCGTGACACTAAATGTCATCTCTTGGTGTCGAGCTATGGCACACAAACTTAACACAAAACTAAACAGAAACTGTCTTTTGGTCCCTTACAAACACTAAGTTGTTGCCCTCCACAGCTGCTGCCTGCGTTAAAGTAGTAAAGCTATTGGTCGAAGTTATTTGGTCGTAAAAGTTTCAGCCGTCTGCGGCAGATGTGCTGACACAGCAAGATTAATACCGCATGGACATGTGCGTCCTCTCAGCTATTGGCACCGATGCATACTATAGAGACAGTATAGTACTTAATATAATAATGGACTTTTTACAAGATACGTAACTTTGATCTGAATGTCCTGTTAGCTGACAAACAGTCTAAGCCTTTAGAAAAAAGTTAAGAAAGAAGTTTTATTCGTCAGTGGCTAATTATTGATCATTTAAATTAAAGAGAAAAGCTGGAAGTCAATCAACTGAGTTCATATCCATTCTTATAAAATGGGGTGCATTACCTTTGTAATGACTGTTTGCAACATATCACTCCAACATCAGCTAAATAGCTTCTAAGCTAACAGAACAAACTCAATCAGCCCAGCCTTGACATTTTTTCCTTTACTACCTTTGAACAGAGCCAACCGAGTTTTTTCGCCCTTTTAATTAAACAAACACTTACGCTAGCTTGCTACAGCTTTACACCTCTGCCAAGGACATGAACACGGTCTCAATATTGTTTTCTAACACGTCAACACCTGACTACATTTATTTAAATTACTTGTCTGAATGACTCCACAGCTTCAATCTGAGGTTAGAGTTCATAATGAGACAGCAGGACTGAACAAAAATGAGTGTGTCTGCGGCTCGACTGACATTGTGAGGCATCAAAGTCTGAAGTGTGGCACTGAGCAGACATCAGTGTGTGAAGACTTTGAGTCACAACTAGAAGGAGGCAAAATGAGTCAATGTACAGTACATAAATACAACTTGATACAAAAAGATTAACAATAATACTAACAATACTTAATGCCTGCCACTTAATACACAACACACACACTCGCACAAACAGCCACACACTCCAATCTATCCTCACAGGACAGGCAATGATTTTCTTACATTTACAATCACTGTTTTGGCTTTAAAACTGACAGTATTTATATGATTTAAGTAACAGCTGGTAAAGTAAAACTGCCTTCTAAGTGCTTTTAAATCAGATCATCAAAGTTGATATTGTCTTCAAGCATGTCGTCAAGCTCCTCTACATGATTCAAGCAGAAAATGATGGATTTGATTTCCTAAAACTGTCATCTAATGTGTCAAACACAATGAAAATGAAAGTGGACAGAGTCAAATATAAACAAAGAGGTTGAAACTTGTGTTTGCAGATTTAGAAACAGTGTTCAAGATAGCTATTGTCACTTTCAGATCTGTGGCGGGTTGTCCACAGCAACAGCAGTGTACTCAGTCTCAGACATGTTAGACGTCTCAATGAGCCGAGCCAAGCCTGTCCTCGTTGAGTATTTAAAAATAAAGGCCTTCATGAGGTCGTAGCGGTAGTTTCTGTTGATGAAGTTGTAGAGGATGGGGTTGAAGCAGCAGTGCAGCAGGGACAGGCACTGGGTGAGGTGTAAGGCCACGTAGAGCACATTCTCCAGGCCGCAGGTCAGAGGCACCAGGCCCAGCTGAGACAGAGAATCGACCAGGAGGACAGCATGGTAGGGGCCCCAGCAGCCCAGAAACACCACAATGTAGGCCAGGATTACCCTGCGACTCACACGCCGCTCCTGCTCCACTGAAGAAGAGGGTGAGGAAGAGGAGGAGCGGGTGAAAGCGCTGGCTAGCAGGGCGTAAAACACCGCAATGACAGGGAAAGGGAGAACAAAGCCCAGCAGGATGAAGCTCAGCTGCACGCCCACCATCCACTCCCTGGGGTTCTCCTCCGGGTATACAGGCTTGCACAGCATGGCGTCCCCGTGGGTGGACTTCACAGTACGCAGGAAGTAGGTGTCCGGGAGGGAGGCGACAAGAGCCAGAAGCCACACCCCTACGCACATCCCGCGACGAATCAGCTTCCTGCGTGCGCCTCCCTCGCTGTCCGCGTGCTTTGTCACACTAAAATAGCGGTCCACGCTCATGCAGGCCAGGAAGAAGATGCTGCCGAAGAGGTTGACGGAGAACAACAGGTGTGTGAGCTTACACGCCACCTCGCCAAAGGGCCAGTGTCCATGCTGGGCCAGCGAGCTCACCCACACAGGCAGGGTGGCGCACACACACAGGTCGGCCACTGCCAGATGAGCGATGTACATGTGCGTCTCATGGCGGGGGGTGGAGTCTCTTTGTGCGCGGATGTTTACCCAGAGGACCAGAGCGTTAGCAGCAAGACCGACGATGAAGATGAAAGTGTAGAGGACGCACATGGAGTAGAGGAGGGCGCTGCGGTTGAAGGCTGTCGCACACACCATCGCATCCACGCTGGATATGTTGCTAAAGGTTAAGGAAAAGTTGAGGTCTCCAAACGACTCCCAGAGGTCCTCCAGCTCACTGGTGCTCAGACTCATTTTTCCACGGTGGGAGAGGACCACTAACAACCTCTGACCGGGTTAGATCCTGCAAAAACAAGACATAAATCATCACTTCTTTGCATGCAGCATATATCCATCTGGATAAAGATCAATCTCCAAACCACTGCCTCTTTTTCTGCTCTCATATTCATGGAGCAATACTCTCTCATATAAAGTCTGGCTTATTTTAACCATGTGGACTTGAACTGCGCTGAGCTAATAAAACATACAGCCTCTTGTGGTATGCCACCAGATCCTGAAGAATCTTAATGTGGTTAACTTGTTAAAACACTGCTTTCATGAGTTAATAGAGGCTCTCTGTTGCTGTGTCACAAACATAGAAGTTCTCAGTGATTGATGTGCAGTCAAAGGGCAGTACAATAAATGTTTACACTAGCTCGGCCTGCAAAGAGCAGCAGATTAGACATAAGGAAGTGGGATAGAGAAATCCAAACAGGGTGTATTTCCGGAGCATTGCGAGCATTCCAAGATAGAGCACAGGTCAGGGTGGGAAACCTGATGCCACGTTAAAGAATGTTTTCCTTGTTAAAGTTTTAAAAAATCTTGTTTTTCTTCTGGTCTCAGTGGAGAGAGTGAGAGAGGCTGTCACCACTCAAGTGATCAAAGCAAAAAAAAGAGGCTTATAACCTCCATACGTCATTTTTACAACATCTGAATCCTATATCCGTGACACATGCACACGATTTTTAATACAGGATGCATTAATGCTTGAGAGGTGACTGAAGCAATATGCAAGATCACAGAGGCGGTAAACTGGAGCAGCTCTGCATGCCAGAATGACTCTTTTGAGCCTAACAGGCCACTAAGAAGTTCAACTCTGTCTGCATTCCCTGTGTTTTTTTTCTGTGATGTCTCTTTCAGCTCCCCTAACTGGCTGCCTGCCGCAGTGTGAAGGATCAGAGGTGAAAGGTAATAGATCAAAACCAGAACACGAGCGATTTAACCCCGCCGTTGCCCCTGGCTGACTCGTACGCCCACAGAGTGAATTGTGTGCAGAGATCAGCAGGAGGCTTGACGCCTGCAAAACGGTCCGACCGAGGTTAAGACCAGGGTCGCTGACCACTGGGTGACACAGCACGGCGGAAAGCAGTGAAATGTGAGCGTGTTAGACATCTGTCTGTGTAGGAGAGCCGTGCTGTATATAGGATAATTGGCACAAAGTCAGAGAGGGGGGATGAAAGAAAAGGCAGGGTTGATACAATTATACACAAGGACACCTGGAACTTGTTAGGATGTGCTGCTGTCTTTTGTGTGTTATGTCTGCTTTTGTGTCTGCTATCAGTTTACTTGTTGTTAGGGCTGGGCGATATGGGAGAAAGTTTATCAGGATATATTTTTTTCATATCGGTTGATATCGATATATATCATGATATAAAAAGTGAAATTTAACAGTGCTTACTGGTAGCATGTCTTTTGCAATGCAATACTGCATCTGTGAGGTCTTCGTGTCTCTTTGACGTTTTGTCGTAAGGCGTGGCACTAGAGAAAGCGGACTGAATGGTGGTGAAAAAGATTTGAGGTATTCCGCAACTTTGCTAGAACATGGACTCTGCTTCATGTCGGACCTCAAAAAACCAAAATACCTCCACAATACTGACGCTTTCGTGCCAATGCTATTGACTATGCTGTCATCTTTGGAGCCTTCATCTGCATTTCTGCGGGGGGTTGCATTCATTTTCTTTTTGTGACAGTGCTGTCAGCTTCATGTGTTAAACTGCCATGGTTGCGTGTAGCTGCAGCCTGCTACGACGCAGTTGTTTGCTACTTGTTTCTAATTCAGCACATGATTGGTTCAGAGCAAAGTGGACTCAGAGCAACTCAACAGAAGAAGACGACTACCAAAAAGCATATTGACCATGTTTTACAATGATATCGAGGGAAATTAATTTTCAATATATATATCGTTATCATTTTATCGCCCAGCCCTACTTGTCGTGTTTTCATTTTTTGTGACCTAAGACTTCCACTCTACTGAATTTGGAATCGTATGCAAACCCAATGGATAAACATAGCTGTAAAATACTGTGCATTGTTACAGATTAAAACACATCATAGCATGCAAAATAGCTAAAGGTGCAACATCATAATGCATCAATACAACTATTGCTGTTTTAAACCTCTATAATTAAGTATTAATTCACTAGATTAGCCTGGAACAACGTCAGCCTCATTGTTTTATCTATTAATGGAGAACTGCAGAACAAAATAACATATTCACAGACAAAGACTCTGTACTTCCCTTCAGGCCTGACAGAGATTTTACTTCAATCCCTTTGACAATCAGGTGTTGCTTTCTCTATTCACAATAATTGGTTTAATACCTCTTCCACATGTGCCTGTGATGAAAAATTCAAAAAAATGTCAGAACCCTGAGATGTAATTTTACTTCCATTATTTTTTGACACTGGAAGGCGCTCCTCATTCCAATCGAGGGATTTACTATGCCGAGATAATCCTTCACAATGGTCTCTGTCTAATTCCCTTCATATTATATGGAAAGTACCTGAAGGTGCCAGGTAACCCCACAGGCTTCAAGCTAATTAACCTTTTAACACCCACAGCATCAGATAAGAGAGACAGCACGAGGAGTCCACCTCTCTCTCTCTCTCTCTCTCTCTCTCTCTCTCTCTCTCTCTCCCACACTGTTTCGACTCTTTTCAATCCGTGAGCATCCAGTTACAAATTAGCTCAAAACGTCTTTTGTTACTCAATACACACAAATAAAAGCGATCGGGCCTCATTTTCATGTGCTAATGTCGTCGACAAGAATAGTGCAGGTGCAGCATGTTTGTTAGAAGTTTTTCCTGTCAGTCTCTGCTCAGATAAGTAAAATATTTGCTCTTTTGAACGGGGTTTCGCGTCGTAAACAAATGTTGGAAAAAGTTGCTTTGTGCGTCTTTAGGCAGAGAGAGAGAGGAAAAAAAGACCAGATCGGCGTCAGATCCAGACTTCAGCTGACGGAAAACACACACAATGTCTTTGTTGTCATTGTTGATTTATATCAGGCTGGAAACCAACTTCTCTTATCTGATGTCGGCTCAGTATACAGTAGCCTGACTCCGTGTTTAAACCGGAGGCAAATAAACAGCACAGAGAGGCGCCGGGAAGATGGAGAACTGTAAAAGTCACTGATATGATTTTTAACACTCCTGTGAATTTACATATTTTAAAAACAACTTTATCCCGTTGTGTTGGTAGTGAAACTAAAAGCTGATTTAGAACTAAATATTTTTTTCCATGCATAAGCTCAGGCAGTCGCAGGTATCGAGCATCTCAGCAGCTCCCTTGAGTTTTAGAAAGCCGAGAAACTGCTCGTATACTCACTTCTGCACCACTTCAGTTTATCAAAGCTGCCTACCTGATTTTGATTCCTTCCTCTCTGCTGGAGTCTCGTCCTCTCCAAAGATCAGTTTCGTTTTCTCTCAGTATAAACTGAAGGATAACTTCTTCTCCTCTCGTTAAAACTTCTGCACGCTGCAGTGCTCCCCTTTAAATGAATCTGAGCCTTTCCCTCGCTCTGCACTTGCTGATACTCGGAGAGTAGAGCTACGCCTCCAAGGCTGGTCCTAACAGCTCTGCGTATTGACATAACGTCGCCTCTGGCGCTCAATGAGCAGTAGCCTGAGTCCGGCCAGTTTCGACCAAGAACAAAAAGATAAAAGATGGAGAAGCAGAATTTCCTGCTTACGACTGAGCCTGCAGATAACATAGTTTAACATGTTGACAATGCTGGACGTTTTATGCGTGACTTCATCGCATATGCAGGTTTATTTGTGCTTTTATTTTGTAACAAGATATGAGAAAGAATTAGTTATCAACATTAGCCTAAGCCAGTTACAACAAATGTCTCATGCATGAAGCTTTAAGGGGGTGAAAAACAGTGAAAGTGTAAAGAAAAGTTTAATCCTTACACTAAACCTCCAAATCTGGTAAAACCTCACAAATGTTGTTAAAAGATAAGAGCATTTTATGTAACAGTGTTTTTTAACCCTTTATTGCCTTTTGTATCATATTTAATACATACTTTTAGATACTTTTATCAAATCAATATAATCAACAAATGACTAAAAAAAAACACCTGAATACAGTCTGATAAATGATAAAAATGTCCTCAAGAAGTTTATCAGTTCCCCATAACATTTAATGCATCAAATGAGATAGATAAATATATTTGTTAAATTTTAAGGACTTCTTTTTTTTTTCAGTAGTAAGTGAAATAAACATTTCAGCTCCAAAAAAAGGAATTTTCTGGCCATAATTTGTGGTGTTAGGCATTAAAGGGTTAAATGAGTATTTAACAGCTTTTTCCTGTAAAATTAAGAAACTTTAAACCACCTGTTTTAATGCTGCATTTGTGTTTCATGCAGTTTATTTCAACAGCCAAATTCTCATGTAGCACAGAGCTCTTTCTTTATCTGCTGTAATGCGATGGCTCATGTCAAACTACAAAAACAAGTGAATATGTGGATAATACACAATACACATCCACCACATTAAACCATATGAGGGGAACCTCCCCTGATGCTTCCTGCAGCGCCCCACCCCAGTTACCTAAATATGAAACCAGAGCTGCAGACGTTCAGTTAACCACACCGTCTGTCTTCTGCTTCCACCCAAAACCAACAAACGGGTTAAACCCACCATCCAGTCTCAGAGATCAAACTGAAAACACCCTGTGAGCAACGTACAACTGTAAAATCTGTGCTTTCAGTTGTTACTCTAAGGCTGCCTCTGTAATTTAGGATCTAGTTTAAGGATTAAAATCTGGTACTATGGGGATAGGTATTTTCATTGCACTTATCCAGAAACTATATCTCACAAAGCCAGCTGCAGAGACCTTGTTGTTTCATGCTCATTTGCGCTGTATTCAGTCTCATTTCAGGCACATCCTCTTGGAAGTGGCACAAAGCCGTGTGGGAGCCTCATGTGTTTGCTGACAGCTGCTGAAAGCTCACCTGCAACTCTGGTGGCCTCACAGCTGCTCCCACCAGGGCAATTAACCCCAAGTTCAATACAAAGACTCCAGCACAAAAAGAGGAAGAAGAAGTCTACTTCATAAAAGTAAACACACTGATCATGCTCCAGTTGTCAAATTATGATGAAATACTGTGACGGAGCTAATAGAGGAAAGAGTTGACATGTTTTGGTAGACTTAACTTTGTGAGGTCTCCCCATCATGTTTGCTTAGACAGCAGATATCCCTGACCAGTAAAGGTCAGCTCTCTGACGTTTTTCCATGTTTATATGACCTGCATTCTTGATAAAATGCAGCGAGCAGGCTCCTCTGACCTCATTAAAGAGCAGAGAAGTGAAGTCAGTTTCAATGAGGCTTTAAAGAGAGCTCCTACTACGCACGCATACCCATTGTCCTTGGTATCACGAGCATCAGGGGGGATTTGTAAGCCTCTCTGATAAGCATCCGTCGCCCTGTAGACTGCTGCCAACCTCTGTTCTGCTGTCCTCATTCACAGGGAGGCCGGACTGGGAACAGCAGGGGAGTGTGTGTCAGGGGGAGTGTTTGTGGGAGGATGTGTGTGTGTGTGTGTCTGAGAAAGGCTGAATAGAAAACTTCATAATGAAATAGTTTGTGATAATGAGAGGGACTACCTAAAAAAAACTTAACATTTTCAGTGTGATCTGAAATCTAAAATAAGCTCAATTCAACAAGGACTAAATGTTATTTGATATTACTTGTCTTCTGTAAAAGAGCAAAAAAGTCATGATTTGTAGATGTTGAGGAGCCAAACAGGCCTCAAGTCAGCACACTCAACAATATATAAGCAAATAAGTCCTGACAATTGAGCTCCAGAGGGAACACTAACCCTATCTTGCCAAAAAGTCTGAAAGGCTTCTTGTATATTCCTCCAGTTGTGATATTATCCAAAATACTCTAATTTATTCCTCATTTCTGTTTCTTCTGCGACTGTCAAACTATATACATCAGAAGGCTGGCCAAATGTTGTTGCTCTCAGTAAGCAGAGGTTTCTCCTTGTTAAAAGGTTTTTTGGGGGTGCCTGAGCCTTCCCTGAAATTAAGGTCTAAAAGGAAGTTCTCAAAGAGTTGAAAAGCTCTCTAGAATAAACATTGTTCTTTACTGAAACCTGCCCAACCCAGTTTGAGTTTTTGACAAAGACCTTGTTCCTCAGATGAGGAATTTAGCCATTTTCAAACACAAGTGTGTTTCTTTGTCATAAAAGTTCAGCCTCTTTCAACTGTTCCTGCTGTGTTTTGGAGAAGTCCAGCGTCATTTTACACATTAACTCTGGATAAACAGAAGGATCAAAAGATAAGTAGATGGAAAAGAGTTGGCGGCTGCAAGAGGGAAACAACGTGCCGATGATGTAAAGGACTAAAGAGGGTGGAGGGTGTTAGAGAAAAAGTCGAGCAAGAAAGATTGTGAGAGTTATTCCTAATGGCTGCACTTTCTATTGTAGTCAGGTCCTGAGCCACAGTGGGGGGTCTGACAGACACAATCCATTTTGGTGCAAATCTCCATTCAGAGGGTCCCTCTCAAACTCATTCTCTACCACATCTTTACCATCCACCATCAGCCTCCCTCCTCCCGCTCACATTTTTCTACTCCCTCACATTCCTCCTCATCCTCTACCCTCACTCATCTTTCACTTAATTACTTATTCATTCACAGTTATCTTTCAGGAGGATAAGGGCCTGTGTGAGTGTGGCTGAAAGCTCATGAGGGGCGGATGCAGGGGTGTGTGAACATGAGGGAGCGACGGGGCCTTTTAAAAATTTTAAAGCACAAAACATTGGCAGCCGTTTGTTCCCTTGGACTTTGTCTGAGGTATTTTGAGCCAGTGTTTTGTCACCACTGATGTTCTGCTCGCTCGTGATGAGGAGATCTTTTGTGTTTCTCCCAGGGATGTGTTCATGCAGGTGCGTTTGGCAGAGAGATTGCGTCTGTGTCGGTATATGCAGTTATCAAGGCATTCCTCATGTTGACAGAGCATCTCCTCACACTGGCCCATGAATGTCTGTGAAACCTGAGAGATGCTCTCAAGTCAAACGTGCAAAAAACGAGAGAATACCAAGAGGCTTTGTGTTAATGTGAATAAAACTTTTTTTAACCCAACATGACTCTGCACTCTGGAAGACACACAATCTAGCTGTACTAACATGTCCTTATCTGCTAAGCAAAGGTTGCTAACATGAGTAGAGCTAGCATGGTGAGGAGTTTGTTTTTGGGCTCCTAAAGGAGTTCAGTTCAGTTCAGTCCCCTTTCAGACCTACATTGTTGAGGCTGCTGTGTCCTCTGGAGGGAAATATGTCACTCCTGACCGCCAAATGCTCAGCATGTTTATCAGCTATTTGTTAACTTTGTCTCTCCACTATAGAGATGCCCTGTTAGCATACAGTGACCTTTCTGAACCTCTTTTTTTTGGAAGGTTCAGAGTTTTTCCTTCCTATTTGTGGCTACTGCTGCGCAGAGTGACACTGACTTGAATAGGAACCAAAAAAAAAAGAGCTAAAAGATGCTAACAAAGACGCTAACATTTACTGCTGTTTATTTAGCGTGTTAGTGTAGCATGTTTAGCCAGCTTATGTTGGCTAGTTACCCTTAAAAACAAAGACAGGCTGTTGCTGATGGTACTGACATTATTTTTTAAGGCATTTAGCCAAGAACATAACAAAATGAAAGCTCCTGTAGAGGTTTTTCTTTTAGTGGTTGGATGGACAAAAACAGAGGTGTCTGTGTAGGACAAACAAAAGTAAGGGCATAAACAAGAAGCATACAGTGACCTGTCTGATACTTTTTTTTTGAAGGTTCAGAGCTTTTCTTTCTTATCTGTGGCTATTGCTGCTCAGAGTGACGTTGAATTGAATAGGAACCAAAAAAAAAAAAAGAGCTAAAAGATGCTAACAAAGACGCTAACATTTACTGCTGTTCATTTAGCGCATTAGTGTAGCATGTTTAGCCAGCTTATGTTGGCTAGTTACCCTTAAAAACAAAGAAAGGCTGTTGCTCGTGGTACTGATATTATTTTTAGCCAAAAACCTAACAAAATAAAAGCTCCTGTAAAAGATTTTCCTTTTAGTGGTTGGACAGAAATAAACAGAAGTGTCTGTGTAGGATATACAAACAAAAATAAGACCATAAACAAGAGGCCTGAGCATTTTTCAGCCTGTAACCACAAGTACTTAGTGATTATCTGACATAGCAAGAATCCAAACAGTCATTATTTACATTCCTGAAGCAAAGATTTTGGATTAGTGATTCGTGTGACCCCTTAAAAAAACAGCAGGCAGAGATTATTCAGAAATCCCTTACCTGTGCACAAGAAGAAACTGGCAAGAATTAAGACAAACTGAAAGTTACTCACAGGAGCTCTTATCTTTTAACAACATTGGTGACGTTTTACCAGATTTGGAGGTTTCTTGTAAAGATTAAACTTAATAGTTTAAAGCTTCATATATGTGACATTTGGTGTAATAGGCTTAGGCTAACATTGATAGCTAATTATTTCTTAATATGCAGGACATATCAGTGCTGGAGGGAAGCAAGCATGAATGCTTGTACCAAAGTTTGTGCTTGTCCAAGAGGTAGATGTTAAAGTGTACCATGTAACTCCATGTAACTAATCATTTTTAGTAGATCACCAAAGTCAGATTCAAATTCTTCCTCTGGGCACTTTAAATATGTGTATGATATATTTAATAGTTCATTAAGTTGAGATATTTCAGCTTTGACCTCAGTGGCAGACGAACCAGCAGACAGTTATTGCTATTCCTTATGCCATGCTGTCAGTATTGCGTCTAATATTAACTCTAACATCTTGAATTATTTCTCCCACATTGTCTTTCTTTCAGTGTCTGGCAGAGCTCTCTCTCTTTGTTCTATTTGTCTCTCCGTCTCTTTCTCTGACCTCATTGGATCTGTCAGTGCCTTCATACTTTGCTGTTGACCATGACCGGCTTTGGCTCAGACAGTCCATTGACTTTGTCTATCATCTCTGCACGCAGCTGTAAGTCAAACAAAGTGTAAGTTCTGCTTTCCCCTCCAAGCCTCACAGGTTTCTGCTCACCCCCCACCCTTTTCAGCACTCTGGCACACACATACACCCACCAAGTTCATTAATACAAGTCAGGTCATTGGGGTCATACTGAAGATGGGTAAAAAATGAGATAAAGTCTGGCCTCAGGGGACAGAGAGTGTCCAGTATGGATAAGAGAATGACAGAATCTGTCCACAGGCTGCATGAGAAGGTGTCTGTCTCACTGTGTTCCCTCAGGGCTGAAGCTTTACTCCGGTAATCCTATCCTAACAATCCCCAAGTATGCTTCCTCACATCGCTTTCCCTTGCTGCCTGACACGGAGTTCACAGATAAGGTGGCTAACTTTCACCCCTATTGTCCTGTCATGCTGAATGAAAAATGGACCATCATCTCTCCTGGAATGTACTCGTGTTTTAGAGACGCCTGCAGCAACAACTCCACCGGCTAAGTTACCAAAAGGTGTTGCTTTCCAAGCCCAAGTGTTGACGCACTATCATCGGCATCAAGTTTGTGGTGAAACTCAGAAGCTTTTAACTTGCGTCAATCGTAAACAGTTGGATTTAACATAGACAAAGTGAGTTTCCAATTGCAAACAAGAAAATGTCAAGTTTTATGTGAGCGTGAGCAGCAAAGAGGGAAAACCAAACACTGAGGGCTTTATGGGGCATAAACACGACTTCACTGTACTCAAACAAGATGATGGAATAAATACAGTAGATAAACACACTCTTAGACTGAAGCCTGGCTCACTTTAATGGGCAAAAATCTCAAAAGTAACACAAAGTAAATATTACGTCCTTCAAAAATGGTCCCGAGGCATAAAACTGTCAATCAAAAGCCCCAAAGTAACGTGAGGGAAAATAACCACGAGCGAATATTCCTCTGTACCAGGTGGTTTTTATTCGTGGTCTCTCAGATGATCATGGCACTGAATGGGGATTATGGCCAGGATGTGGCAACCCAGGCAGCATCTGGATTTGAGCCTGATGTGCCTTGAGCGCCAACCATATGAGGGACACTCCTCGCTCTTGCAAGTCTCTCTTCGTAGTCCCATCCTTAACTCTGGGCTTCAGTTGTATCTATTTCTCACATGAAAAAAAACATACAAGACCATTTGTAGTCTATATTGATGGATTGCACTGGGAGACACATGTAATAAAAGCCTAAAGACAGATTGACTCAGTGATAGAAATAAAAAAGAGGCAGCCTCAGAGCACGGGATCAAACAGGACTGAAGGCCAGGATGTTCTCCGTTCACAGTGTATGTTTCTCTCATTACTCCTTTAGTTGTGGCGGATAGATAGATAGTAAAAAATCTGCTTCTGGTTATAATAGAGAAAAGGATTTAGAGAGGAGCCTAATGGCTGACTGGAGTCTTAACCCTGACACTGATGCCTCAAACCACCAAAAGCTCTCCCCAAAACCTCCCAGCTGCTCTCAAACCCCAGCCTGTAAATAGGAAACAGCTTTTCGGCCTCCCAGTACCAGGCACTCCATACATCAGAGCCTGAATGGAGGCCAATCGCCTGATGTACATCCATTCATCAAACCCACTACAGCAGGCTTTCCGTGTTAAGAGTTTCAAAGTTGCAGAGCGCTTGCTTGGCCTGCGTCTTATCACTGTCAGAACATCTGAGTGAAGTGCAAGTCAGGAGGGCAATTTATGAAAATGTTTGCTTATGCATGGATGACTACTCACCGTTCCCCTGTGGATACACCTCCAGCCAGCATTCAGATCCCTAATGAGCAGAAGATGTGTGAAAAGTCCCATTGTGGTACAAGTTTCCTGTGTATTTTCTCACTGGTGAGAGGAGAAGAGGAATACAAAAGAAGGATGGAGGAGAGGATGAAAAGAGGGAGCCATGAAAGACACATCCTGCACGAGTTCATGAAAAGAGGAAGGAGGCAGTGATTGTTATTATTTTTTCTCCCTTGTTTTCCTCTCCTTTTTTGGGCCTTGCAAAAGGCTTCGTGGCTCTATTTGTGGTCCGGTTCCTCCACAGCTGTTACGGTTCACCTTTTTTCCTAAATTATTTTAGTATTCAGCTGTTCAGGCTGTGATCACAAACACAGAAGCCTGGGAAATCAAACTTTGATGCACACATTTTCGGATACTCCAGCATTCGAGCCCTGAGACTGTTAGAAATAAAGGCACGAATTCTCTCCTACATGCAGATCAACCTGAAATACTGTTCGACAAATCCCAGGGTCGCAGTTTGTATATCAATAAGTTATTCCCCTCGGTAGGATTATTCCTACGATGTTGCAAGTTTGAGAAACGGAGAGGAATTTTTATTGTCTGAATAAATCTTTAGATTTCTCCCTTCAACGGGGACCGTGGATACTTGACAAACTTGATTTAGGAGGCTACTGTGATTGGAGTAGTTTGGGGGATGATTGCGCTCAGATGTCAGAGTGAATTCCCTACTTTCATCATCATGGGGAACATACAAAGGACACTTTGTGGTACGAAAATACAGGGGGGCAGCTGGAGCTTCAGCGAGGGCATGAAAGTAAACGCAAGTGTGGTTCTTCATTACAAACCTTTCCTGCTGCCAATCTTAATAGAAGTGCTCTGAACTGTGCCTCACTTTCCTCATGTATGCACACATGGTCTCAGTGTGTCACAGAGAAGCTGAATTCATCAAGCTAGGTTTTTTGTTGAGGCAGAATTGATTAGTATTTCATACAGACCTGAAAGAGTGAGAGGTTGTTTGATGTAAATAATTTGCCTCATTTCTCAGACAGCCTCTTTCCTCCAGCACTCTGCCTCTTGTCTTTCTTTCTCTGTCTGCTTTGGGTCATAGTGTTTAATGGGTGGCCTGCTGTTAACCCTGTGACATCTGGCGCAAACACAGGGACCCATTTACGGCCCACTCAAAACACCTAAAAGTCAGCGGAGAACAATCAATCACATCTGGCTCAGGACCGCATTTCCAAAGCCATCATTCAAATCTCTGCTCTCTGCTACTATTGTAGGAGTTTGGCTTTAATTAGTACAAATACAAAGCCTGTATATAAGAACTCTCTTTGAGCAACCACGCTAAAAAAATCTGGTTAAAAAATAAATCTAGCTGACTTGGCATACAGCAGAGCCATAAATGATCATCTATTGGAATTGCGTATTTCATTTGGTCATCAAATGGTGAAAAACAAAATGTAGTGCTTCATGCTTGCAAAGCACTCCCCCAGATATTTCTTGCTTTTACCCAAGAAACATATGCGATATAATGCCAGTGTAGCAGGTGCAGTATTATTTCAGAGCAAGCCTCCCAAGGCAGACATGGATAACGTTAGTTTTCATTTGCATGGTTAATGTAAGGAAAGTTAAAGAAATCGACACCACAGCATTTTAATTTAGATATGGAAACTATTCAACACTCTTAAATGCTTGATTTTATGCACCTAAACACTCTTAATTTATATGCAAAAAAAGTGCTTTATTTCCCTCTGGCGTTAAAGGAAATAAATCCTCCTGCATATATTTAGTTTCACTTTACATTTCCGACATTAAATCGCCACGTGATTATTGTGTGGATTTAAGCGTCACTAAAGCAGACTGCTTATCCGGAGCCTCTGTTTCAGACCCCGATTTAAGACGGTGCCCACTTCCTCCCATTGAACCAGCCAAAAATGGCATTGGTGGGAGAACTGGGATGGACAATGGGAGAGCAGGATGGACACGAGATCACAGACCGTGGTATAACTCTAACATACACAAACACAAAACGACTCCCAAGCCATTCAGACTCCATCACTATGGTTTTCTGTCTGAGGAAATAATGCAAATGGAAAAAGCAAAGTGCCAAATCTTTAAACCAACAATAGCAGCGTTTATGTGCTGATGTTTCTGTTTAGATGTTCTGACGCTGCTGGGTTTGGTGTATTTTTAATTAAAAGGATGAATCAGACTCGCGCATGATGATTCACGCATTTTAAAAACTTAAGGCATGATTTACCCACACTGTCATCTTTCGCTCTGCATGTGGTGAGAGAGTGATAGCTTAGAGGCCTCCAGCCCAAGCATGATATCTAACACATGGTAAAATTGTTATTTGAATGTGGAAAAGTCAAAATCACTCCATTTTTCTGTGTTTTTGCAGCTAAAGGAGGAAATGATCCAAACACGTCCTGGCTGCAGACACAGGTGATTATGAAACTGGACCTGGCTCGACACAAACAAACACTCTGTGACCTTGTGAAACCTCAGCTGTGAAACATGCACACCAATCCTGTTCCTACATGTCACAGGCTGTGGTCTGGACTTCAGAGTGCAAGGCCATTTCCTTTAAGTGTGCCCCCCGCCCCTCCCCCCAATCTCATTTCCTCCATACCCAAACAAAAGCAGCTTCTCTGGGAAAAGTGCTCAGCCGCTTGTGTTTTTTTCTGCATATGGCTCAAAACCTGCTTGAAACACGCTCTTTGGTCGTCAGCATGTCTGTTTACAATGTACAGAGCACTTATGCTGTAGACAGAAAGCACACCAGGCCTAAACATAGTGCACACAACTAAACTCACTCAAACAATGAGTCCAAACTTCTTAGGGAGAATCGGCAAGAGGTTAAGCTTTGTTGCACTTGTACAACCCTAAGAGTAGCGTTCATCAGGACCCTCCAGCTTTGATCTAGCTGTGGGAGAGGAGCGGTTTCCCCAGGTGGGCGCCCACTGTCAGAGCAAACCCCTTGTTTAGCATGTTTTAAATGAACTCAGGTCTCAGAGGGAAACTCTTCAAAGCAGGCAGAGTAAAGGGCGTTTTTCCCAGGAGGCCTTGCAGATTGCAGAGGTCAGAACCAGGATACAACTCTGGAGATGGGATCAATAGGACATTATGTTCTGCAAGAGAGAGAGAGCAAGGGCATCACCAACTGTTTTATCTGAAACAGACCAGTGAGGCTTTTAGTTTGAAAGCTACAGAGTCCCTTTTTTTTAATTTGTTGAAAAAGGAGGAGCTGGAGTTTTTCCAAGGTCAGGGTTAGATTAAACTCATATGGAGTGGAAAAAACTGAGGTGAAACCAACAAGAAGTGATACCTGTATATAAAAAAGACACCACTGAGCTTCTTTGTAACTTTCTGAGACAAGTTAATATTTGAAAAAATGCATCCAACATCAAACTTCATACCCAGTGTGCACAAACAAGGATTTGAATATTGAAATTTGGTTTGTCAAAGAACTAAGTTCAACTGTCTAACCAACTAAACACAACTTTATGTGCTCATTTTAAGGTCAAAGCTCCTGTGAGTTTTTGATAAGATATGAAACTGATTGAGATGAACTGTGTTGTGTCTCGATGACATTGACGAGCAAATGAAACCATCAACAAGTCTGATAATTTATACGATGTAAATTTGAATGTGGTAACTGCAGTGAGGGGGTAAGTGACCAGAGATTTTTTGGTGGATAAACTGTTTTCTTAAGTGCAGGACAAAATCAGCAGATTACCACAAGGGGGCGCCAAAATTAACATAGACAAACAGTTGCATGAGTACAAAGACAAGATTTGTTGCATCAGGTAAAAGCCAATATCTGTTAAGGCACGAGTGTAGTCCTACATGTTACCCTTAAAAGAAGAATGTCCAAATGCAGGGACTTCGACCGTTCAGCTTCAAGTACAAGCTGCCACTCAAAAACCACTTGTAAAGTGTGTAAATGTGATAACCCCCGTGACGCAAGCATTATTTCCAGTGAGATGGAGACAAATTTAAGACTGTAGAAGACTTAGTTAAAAACTATATTTCTTACCAGGCTTGTAATCTTTATAAATGTGTTTAAACCAAGACACTGGTTAGAAACATTTCCAAAACATTTTTTAGTCCAGAAAATTCTGTGTGCTTAAAACTGAAATTATTTGGACATCATTTTGTTTTTTTGGCTGTGAAACCAGCCAACTTTCTAAATGGTTCATCCTCCCTGCAGTTAGATTTAATGCTCCTTGGGGTACTTTTAGATAGTTCTATGGAATTTACAACACTGATTTTGGGTTTGTCAGCATGATCCCAGTATTTATTAGACTGTACTTCATATTTTAGCCCTTGCGCATTCATACATTGTTTTAGTCTCGCTGCTTCATGCCAATTACAACCAAGGGGATTTAAGTTGTTCAAATCAAGAACAGATCTTAAGACCTATGGCATATGGACTTTAAATTGATGTAACATTTACTGTTCTGCACACTTACTTCCAGAGAAACCTCCAATGTACAAGTGTCCAAATGTAATCTGCAGCCCACTGCTGGGATCTTGAGGGTACTGCACACACACATCATAAAGTCATTGACACACATTTGCATTTCCTTGCAAATTAGCTCCTGTTGTCAGGATTGTGTGACCAACATGACCAAGACTCAAAACATTCAGATTTAGTAATGGCTGCACTGCACAACATGTCTGAAAGTTAGAATACATCATTTATTTCATATTGATTTAAGACAAAGTGACACACAGCGAGGTCCCATCCTTCTCAGACTCCGGCTTTCATCTGGTTGTTTGGTGGCAGAGGTTTGCCCAAGTGGGTCCCCACAGTCAGTCCAAACTCCTTGGTGGCGTGTTTCTCACAGACCTCAGGTTTCAACTGGAAGCCCTTCTCCCCATCAAAGCAGTCCAGTGGAGTGAAGGAGAGTGGCTCCTCTCCCATGAGGCCTTGCAGCCGTGTACGCCAGCCCTCCAGCATGGTGCCGCGTGCCTCAATGGGAATGTGAGACGGGGCCCAGAAAATCTGCGGGGCCAGAACCTGGAAACCACAGTAGTGCAGGATGCCGTTCTGAGGAGAGAGATGCACCAGAATTTAGTTCAATCGCTTTGAAAAGATTCGCAATTCATTTTTGTTGGATCGGTTTCTCCTGAAGCAGTACCTGCAGAGGCCACAGCGTAACATTCATGTCTCCATTGACGCCGTTGGCACTGAACATGGACTCATGGGACCCTGTGGTGAAGGACAGCATGGCTTTCTTCTCCTGTGAACAAAAATAAAAAAAACAAGTTGAGTTGGTAAAAATAAAGCCTTGACCTTGTAACAGAAACCTCTAGATACCTTACCCTGAAAGGTCCTTGGCTGTATCGCTTCTCATGAGAGTATGCAAAGCCTAGTGTGAGCACCCGGTCCATCCAGCCCTTCATGATGGCAGGGACAGTGAACCAGTACATGGGAAACTGAGAAAAAGAAGAGTTTAATGCAGAGGGGTCAACTTTAAAAAGAAGAAATAAGAAGCATGATCGACAATTGCACTCCTTTACCTGGAAGATAATGAGGTCGGCCTCTTTTAGCTTGCGTTGCTCCTCAGTGATATCAGCTGACAGTTTTCCAGCTTCCCATGCCAGTTTGGTCTCTTCCGCATAACGGAAGTGATCTGCATTCTTGACTTCTCCTGCAAAGACAATAAACAGTTTCCTGTAACCTTGATGAGCAATCAAAGCCAAACTTTTACTCCCGCTGAGATACTTGCATACCGACAATGTCCTCTGCAGTTGCAGTGGCTTTAAACTTCAAAGCGTACAGGTCAGATACTTCGACTGTGCAGCCCTGACTAGTTAAAACTTCTACTGCAGCATCTTTAGCCGCAGCATTGAATGAGCCGGGGCTCTGGTGGGCATACACAATCAGGACTTTCTTCCCTGCTAAAACAAATAAGACAGACTTCTGATTAGAAACATTAGTCAACATTTATAGCACTTGACAGAAAAACAATACCTGAGGAAAAACATACCCATTCTGGAGCAAGATGAGACCTGTAGACGATGAGCTTCAATGTTAGCAGGGCTGTTGCTGGAAATAGTCACTCATGCTTGAAAAAAATCTTCCACTGTGATTTTATACACCTGGCTCTGAGCATGACTCGTTTGCACAGCTGTCGTCTATCAGCAATCACTGTCCTCAACCAATCAGCTGGCAGTGGAGGATTATGTCAGACCCACTACAAATCTGCATGACTTTTACTGATACTGGACTCTCTTTCAAAAATGAGTAGCGTTTTGACGTTGTAAGAACTATTGGCTGATTTTTTTAAACAACAGATTAATGTATTTCTACAACAATGAAGTTATTTCAATCTTTTTTATTCAAAGTAGAAAGTGCAATATAACATATTTTAAATGCCGAGCATGAAACTGATGTGACACCTAGAGGGATTGTAGTAGATTTAAACCCTTACTGGGCTTTTGAAGATGATGGATTTTATACACTTTTATATTTTACACAGATTAAAAAGTCACACAACTCTGCTGATGCAAACACATGGTAAAATATTTATCCCAATACTATAGCAATGGTGTAATGATATGAAGCAGGAAGTCTGGTATGACAACTCAAGCCAAATCAATTACTTAATTGTTCACATGAGGCTAGCTGGATTGTACAGAGGGTAAAAAAGATCTGTTTTTGGACTAAAGCACTTGCTCTCTCACACGCCTCTCATTGGTTAGTTTCCAGAAGCAACTGTGGCCGCCAAAGGACAAGAAGCTGCTTTGATGCACAGTGAGTATGATCCTCTCTTTATCGAAATTTGCCCTCAAAAATGTTTGTCAGTGTTTTTTTTTTCACATTAATAATTTTTGGTCCCCCATCTAGAGCATTTCACATAGGTAGCACCTAGAATCAATAAACGAGTATGCTACCAGTACTTCTGCGCTGCAAAGATGGAGCTGGCGACAAAAGGAGGGTTCCTGCCGAAAAGAGAGTCTAAGGTCATGTGATGCTGAGATATTGGTATGCACTTTTTTTGGCTGATTCTGTTGATTATGTGCTTTTACACATATTCATTTCTTATGTAATTTTTTCTCTACCAACTCTGGATGCATGAGTAGAATGCACTAAATGTGTTGCATGTGTTGTCTGTGCAGCAGGCCTCTCTAGCCAAGACAAATTTCTCCCAAGGTAGACAAATAAAGACACCTTGACTTTGGTATATTCTAAGATTAAAACAGAATTATTTGATATTTGGATGATTACACTTTTTCAAACATGAATATTTTCATGAATAACAAAGTCTGTTCTGCTAAATGCCACTCAATACTACACACTACACCTTTAAAAAAAACACCCAGTAGGATAATATAAGGCAGGGTTTCACATAAATCTGCATAATTAGGGGCCCGGCTGAGTTGACTGACAGGTAGGCATGTTGGAGTTGTTTGCCAGAAACCTGCTTCAGCTCCACCTCTTTGCTTGTTTAAACTGCATCTATGTTTCTTAAAATCTATCTTAAAGTCAATGACAGATCATAAATAACTCATTTTTATTACAACTAAAAGAAGAGATCAGACCTGGTTTCTTTTAGCCAGCAAGAGATCTAAAGCTGGCAGAGTCTCTTACACATCTCAGCCTGCCCTGACAGAGACAGAATGTGCGTTTAATGATGTCTTTTCGTGTCTTTCACAGCAACAGTGTGTATATCAGAGAGCATGCATGCCAGTCTGCGTACAAGATGTTCAAACCCTATATCTTCCGCTCAGACCACATGAAGCAGCTGTGGCTAATCCTCTCACTCTAAAGTTACTGCTCTGTTTTCCTTTACATTACTTTCCTCTGAAGAAACACTCGCCTGCGGTCAAGCCCACTCACGAATATTGCCCTGTAAAGTCAAAAAGTGAAGACTCAGCGGTGGACATCAAAGGCTGGCACACATCTGGGACCCAAAATCAGACCTACATGTCACGTCTGTGCAGCCACTGAGAGGAGGAGGGGTTTATGAGGAATTCCTACTTACATACATGCAAGTAAACCACATGAGAGAGACACACGGATAAGATTTGACATCTTTCACTCTGTCGTCTTTCCTTTTTCTCTCTCTAATTAGCCTCAATTTAAATTGTAAGTGTTGGTACAGCAGCACTTTTATTTTCAACACCACAACTTGCATTCTTCCAAAATTCACATTATGAGACCTTTCTGTATTTTTGAGGCTCCTTTATTTCATCTGCATGGCCTCTCTGGTTTTATTTCCCTCATCATGTTGCTCATCACACCAGGCCCCTGGCTGTGTTCCCTCTGTTATGGCAGGTAAGGATCATGTGTTTGACTGGGAGCTATGTTTTCATGATTTGTGATGTATGACTTGATGCTCGACTTATAAAATGCAACACTGCATGACGTACTCACAAGTTTGTCTCATACTTCCTGCCATACATGTGTCAGGTATTGTGTGTGTGTACTGCCCGAGGCTCCTAATGCTGTTAACGTTTCTTAATAAAGGAACATGTGCACCACACCTGCAGGAGGTAATTTACACAAAACCACAGCCATGTAGTTAATGAGTACTCGAGGGTATAAAGTTGGTACATTCACCTACATATGGAGGCTGGTGATTCTTCATGATACCTGCTGGGCTTTAGGAGGAAAATGTAGCCTAAAGTGCCACCATGTGGTCAATGAGATGAACTGCAGGAGTATGTCAATTTATATGCTCACATCTAATGCACTAGTTAAATTACAAAAATGCAATAATAATAATAATAATAATAATAATAATAAATAAATAAATAAATAAAGACCAATTGTGAATATAACAGCAGAGGTTGACAGTCCAGTCACTGAACAAGAATCTATTTTGCAGATGATTACTGGTCCCTTTATATTTATAGAGAAAGTTGATTCATTTGAGAACGTCTATCTAAATCAGGGGTGGGCAATCATGTGCCATGGAGGGCCGAGAGGTTGCAGGTTTTCTTTCCAACCCAAAACTCCACCAGGTGATTTCACTGATTACCTTACCTCCAAGCAGAGAGCAGGGACCAATCAGTGAAATCACCTGGTGGAGTTTTGGGTTGGAAAGAAAACCTGCAACCTCTCGGCCCTCCATGGCACATGATTGCCCACCCCTGATCTAAATTATACTAAAACTGTGTTGCTTTTAAATATAATGCTAATATTTCCAAATATTTCTTTGGATTATTATCATATATGTATCAATTATTATAACGTGTTGTGTCTTTGGACAAGCATGTCAAAATGTTAAAGAATGTATCTTAAATGCTCTTGATACAGGAACATGAGGAGTTTTAATGTAATGAATGTATTTTTTGTGAATTTAATATTTGCAGTATTTTTAATGTGATTAGGAGTCCTTTCTTTTTTCATTTTAAATTATGATTACAGTGAATTAGACATTAAAATTCCGCTTGAAATCCAGAGTATGGGTTTGTGTTACAAAGAATACAAACTTACATGAAAGCTTTGACATTAGTTTATCTTTTAATGAAATGACCTGTATCACAGGGCTTCTTCTGACCTTTTTTTTAACACAACAACTTAATGCATTTTCTTCTGTTATGACATTTAAAAGAAGTGTCATGGAACCCACCTCTTATAATGCACCATAAGTATATTTGTAAAGCCGTATAATTACATCTATGAAGCTTTCTGAATGTAATTATGATGCATTATAAGAAGTAGGTTCATATGAGGTGTTTCATTGTTGTTTGGCAAAGCTAATATGCAGTGTCAGATGATCTGCAAAGTGAACATGAAAAGAACCCGAAAGCCGACAGAATAGGATCATTTTTCTTTTACCTTTGACCACCAGATGCTGATAATGCCCAGCTTCATTTCCAGAGCACAGATCGATCTGATGCAGTTTATGGTGTAATCAGAGTCTGCCACAGTGCAAGGAGCTTAGCTTCAAACTGAGTGACATCCATCCAGATGGTGAGTCATGAATTGTAGTTTTGTACTGGCAGGAGGGAGCGACTGTAAAGCAAGCAAACTGTAATCTTTCACAGTTTAATGTCGCTGATCCAATCACTGGCATCACCATAAGTAAACAGAGCTGAAGGATTTATTGTGATAGCTTTGGCACTCTCTCCGCCGCTGCAAGGCAGGAACACAAATTAAAAGTCTTTCAGGTTGTTTCTTGTCGAACGCTCTAAAGTTGCCAAGATAAATTTTATACAGCAGGCACTTTCTTTCCAGTTTCACTTTCAAAACCACAGATGAATTACACCTGACTGAGATCAGATTACAAAGACAACTTTGAAACAAAGTAGCTCCATAGTTATCTGTAGAAGTCCTCAAGAGAGCATGCAGTAAGCTTCTCTGTTCATGTTTAATTTTAAGTTTGAAGAAAAAAGATGTTTAAAAAGTTTGTAATTGGCAAATACACAATATTTGAATCAGACGGCAGCTCAATTTCAAACGAAACAGCTGCTTCTGTGGTTTCCTTCTCCCAAACCAAGAGCTGTTATGATGACTTTCTAATGAAACAGGTGATCACAAGAGGACACATGTGGTGTATCCACATTAAAATAAATGAACTTTCTGTTTAACTTTAAAATGCGTTGCTGTAGCTCAGCGTTTTGTGTTGGATAGTAGAAAGAAATAGAGGACTGATGATCACATGTACTTCATAATGTGCCACAGTTACATTTAAATGACTGCAAATGACCGATTTATCCTTCTTCAGCCTCTGACTCTGTCTTGTTTTTCTATTTTCTTAACAAAAACTGTATACTGTTTTAACCAGCTCGAGTGTATACATCATAGTGTGCTGAAATAAACTATGGTAGCTGAAGTTCATACTTAATGATGGGGTGCAGCTGAGGCTGAAAACTGGTCTTAATGTCACTGAGTGTATTGAAATACAGTGAGGAGAGATGATAATTATATGAGAGCTTTTTTTTCTCTCATTCTCATATTTACAGTGTCAAAGAAATGAAATTAAAGTGCAGTTAACTTTCTTGTGCATTTAGTCCCAGAAATGCTTTGATTGATTTCAGCATCTCGAGTCACACAAGTCCAAGGTACTCGAGTGAACCTGGATTATCTGTCCTAGTCCAGTCTAGAAGTTTTAGAGTCAGCTACAAAATCCTAACAAGTATCATGTTTATGTTGACTATGTGTTTTGCATTAGACCTGACTCTTGTTTTAATCAATGTGCTATTCTGCTTGACATCAGTGCAATAAACTGATAACAGCAAATTTAAGAAAAACTGAAATATACGAGAACATTTTGCTCTAACAAAGTTAAGCTAAAAATCTGATCACTGTGTGTCTTCTGCTTTGAATTTATTGCCGTTTTGTCTTTTATTAGATTCAATAACTTCAGTTTGAAAATGAACATAACTGCTTGACTTCTGCAAGACTTTGAGTCTACTTTACTTTCCCTCTCTTACGTTTGATCTTTTCCGATCTCTCTGAGTTAATATTTTCCTGTTTGCCTGTAGATTTTCCGAAGCCAAAGCCCTTGAAGGCAAAAAGATAAAGACGTACTCGCTGAGGTGTGACAGCGTCTAGCAGCCAAACACAGAGTCATGTTGTTAACAAAGGGGATGACAGCGAAACCTTGTGCATATTTATTTAATGTTACAGCACAGACACACGGGGAGATAAGAGTCACCGCTGCCAGAGCACACTCTGACTGCGACTGATGTGAAGCGTGTCTTTATCTCTGTTAACTCTGCCCCTGAGGAGTCAAAAACAGGTGTTCTTTGTAATGTCTGCATTAGCCGAGCAGATGCTCTCTTTAAATTGTGAAAGTCAGAAACATACTGAGTTGCTGCTTTTAAGTTTGAAAGAGATAACTTTCAAATTTTACCCTAAAGAAACTCAGACAGATATTCCCTGGCGTCGTTCTCAGGTGTGCAAACACATCCTTTTACTCTGTTTTTCTATTTAAACTTTACTTCATCACTTAGATTTAGTTTAGTGATTCTCAGGCTTTTTTTTCTCTTCAAAGCTAGCTTTTTTCTCTCTATCTTTCAAGCTAGTTTTTTTTTCCAACCTAAGAAATAAAACAAAGATGAACTAAATTCATAATTGGAATTAAAAATATCTGAAATTGCATTAGTTGCACACTTAGGGTACTCATTTTGTTGACAGTGGACGGAAAGCACAACATAACGCCAACGAACAAAACAAAAGTTTAGCTTTTAACTTTAAAATTACAAACTATTGAGAATTATACCTGTGAATGAATCCAGTTATGTTTTTTTCAAGTGAGCCATATGTTTAGTATTTTATGACACCGATTTGATCATTGTTTGAACCTGCTGTCTTAACCTCATCACATCAAAATCAAATTTTATTTATATAGCGCCCATTCACAACATTCGTCATCCAAAGACGCTTTTCAAAGAACAAGAGCAGGTCTAGACCACGCTCATTGTTTGATGAATTATCAAGAACCAACCTGAGATGGGTTTTGGCCCATCTCATCGAACATGAGTAGCATGTTTATAGACTATAAGTCCTTCTTGACATTATCTTATCATTTGAAAGTTGGGCTGAAAATCTAACAAGATCTCAACTTCTCTCCCTTTTTATCCTCCTGATAGCTGTAACCATGGTGACAAAGCTGATCGATTGCATGTCTTTGGATTCTGAATCAGCCGGCCCAATATGTAACAGCAGATGGTAACCAGAGAGAGAGGAAAGCCGAGGCAGGAGAGGAGAAGAAAGATAATAACACAAAATGAAATATAGATTTATCTTGACATAGAGGTTAAATTAGACAACATAAAGGAGATGCATTTATCTGATTGTAGGCGTGAGTAAACAATTTGCTCATATATGTTCATTAACAAACAGTTGCACATATGTATGCATGAGCAGATGAGGAGGAGGAGGAGGTGAAAGTCAGGTTTGTGGCTCTGGCCTTTAAACAGATGGTATTCGAGCTGAAACAGACGAGGAGTCAGACCCAGGAGACTCAGTGTGAGAAAATGAAGGAGAGATATCACAAGAAAGATGAATGTAACAGAGAGCACCAAGCCTGAAAAGTCTCTTATTGCTTATTGTGTGTCTAAAAGGGGATCTGCCTAAACCAAGTAGTCTTTATTCAAGTGTTATCCATCGCTTTTCTCTTGCAGTCAACAGCAGCACATATTAAGAAGTGAACTTGAGAGAAAGCTAAGATTGACTTGTTTACATCAGCTAAAAATTGTAAATAACAATTCTTCCTCTAGCATCTGACTTGTTTCGTTATAACTTTGCCTCTTGTTCTTTATTTGACTATTTGATAGATTTATGGAGCTACCCTGAGAGGAGAGAGAAAGGTGGTCTGAGAGCTGGACGAAAAAAGAGACTAGCTGGAGGTTGAGGTTGAGGAGTTATTGCATGAGTTTAATGAGGAATTGAGGAGGAAATGAGGAGGATGAGGGAAAAACAGGGAGCCTTAATGAAAGAAGAATGGAGACGTGATACATTGGAAAACCATGAGGTGCAGAAGGTGTTGGTCATTTTTGCTAAGAGGTAAGTGTTTTATGTTTTAAATACTACACATAATTCAGCTTTTGTTAAGCTATTTTTTAAAGATTTTAACTTTTTTGCAGGAATAGACAAAACAAAGAGGAGAGGAGGAGGTGAAGGAGAGGAAGTAGGAGGTCAAATGTTTTCAACAGTCATTGTAAAAGGTACATATCAATACTTGTTTACTTTATCACAGTTCAGTATTGATGCAAACCTCTAGTGTTTCCCTCATATGTATTTTTATTTATTCATTTATTTTATTTTATTTTATTTTTTGGTACTTACATTTTCCTTGATTTATTTTTTCTGGTGGAGACAGAAAAGGAGGGAGAGAGGAGGAAAGGATGGGAAAGGAAAGGAGAGGAAGTGGGAGGGCAAAAGGTTCAAGCGTTTAATCTGAAAGATATTTATCCATTTTATTTTTTATCGTGGCTGGCACAGTGGTGTAGTGGTTAGCACAGTTGCCCCACAGCCAGAAGGTCCTGGGTTCGAATCCGGGTCAGGATTCAAACCCGGGTCTGTGTGGAGATTACATGTTCTTCCTGTGTCTGTGTGGGTTTACTCTGGGTACTCAGGCTTTCTCCCACAGCCGAAAAACATACTGAAGTGGGGTTAGGTTAATCAGCCACTTTCAAATTGCCAGTAGGAGTGAATGTGAGTGTGGATGGTTGTTCGTCTCTGTCCCCTGCCTTCACCCGAGGATGCTGGGATAGGCTCCAGCCCCCCCCCCCCCCCCCCCCCGGATCGGGAATAAACAGTAGAAGCTGGATGGATGGATTTTTTAATCATCACAATTTATGCAGTAATAACATTAATTTCATCTCGTGTCCGACTTTCTTCATTATAACTTTCCCTCCTGTTCTTTATTTGACTCTTTTATGAAGCTACCCGGAGAGGAGAGAAAGAAGTGGTTTGAGAGCTAGAGGAGGAAGAGACCAGCTGAACCTGTAGGTCTCTTCCTCCTCTAGCTCTCTGTAGGTAAATCTCCAGGTAAGTGTTTTTACCCTTCAGACTAATAATACAACCACTTTTCCCCAAAAAAAGTTTAAAGAGAAGGTTTAAAGGCAATGTGCGTAAAGACTGAAAAAATTTAATCTATCTATGTTTTGTTATCAAATTTCATGAGGGGTTTATATTGAGATAAAGCAGATATTAGGAGAGAAGGTATCTAAGAAGTAAACATTTATTGTGTGTTTTCATTCATAGTATTAGTAAATCTGTTGAAATATTTCCATTTTAACCTGGAGCCTTCCTCATATGAATTCAGCCTGTTAAAGTGACTCTTCCTTCAGTCTGTGTCCTCTGTATCTCACACTATAAGGTAAACATGAACTCTGAGGCCGAACTCTAAATGTCTTGATTGTCCCCATGTGTGAAGTTAACATAAATTTAATTGGCTTTAGGATCAGGTTACATTTACATATCTAAACTGACTGAGTAGGTCTGGTTTGTTTCCCAAATTTTATCTTTGCAGCTGATAATAGTTGGGAGAACCCTGAACATTGACTTTAACAAAGTCATTCTCATCTCCTGACACTGACTTCAAGCCTAAATTGAACTGCTAAGAAGTGTGGAAAAAAGTCAAAATAATTCTAAATGCTTTTATTTTTCATGTTACTTTTTTTTACATCTTGGTTGAGGAGCTAAATTCTGCATTGTTAATCTGTGACATGATTCTGTTTTGCAGAGAGCAGTTAACACTTTTTTACAAGCACAGAAAGGATGCAAACCATTTTCCAATGAAGTGATTTCCATTTCCCTTTTTACTAAACCTAATAACCTGATTTACATAAATGTACACGCGGATGTAGCTTCAGCACCTTGGACAGCTCAGGTTTCCTTCCTTTGGCTGTAAGTATGAGTTTTGACCAGTAGAGGGCAGCACTAGTCCCTTCTATTTTATGGTACTTTGCCTCTAAAATTTGACCTAGTTTTTACCTTTTGACCTATTAAAACTTTTAGTAAGTACCAAAGGAGTGTCACCCAGAGGTCAGAGGTGGAAAATGATCATGATGTCTTGCACAAGCTGTGTCTCCAAATTGTTCTCCAGCATTTTTGTAGCCTGGAGACAATAGTCTCAGTCCTGACTGTCCCAAACCTGAGCCACACTAGGGACAAGCAGACACTTTGAAGGTGAGTTGTGGGTCCTTACCTGCCAAACTCGTGGACCAAGAGGACTTTTTGTTTCTTGGAAAAGTTGCAGGTATAAGCACAATATTGTCACCAAGGAGATGAAAAGGTGAGCCTGTTTGGAGGCTGCTGCTCTATAATTTGAGTCCTTGTCCATAGTGATTCAACTTGCTCAGTTTGACTTTGTTTTCTTTTTGTGCTGATTCGTGAATCATCTTGCATCGTCTGCTTTCTTTGAGCATATTCCGGTGAGATAGCATTGATATCCATCTGTAGAGAATTAACAGTGACAGCCATGAAATGTCCATTGTCCTGTTTTGGGGAGATTCGAAAAGGCAAAATCTGATTTGTAGGCCTTATCAGATCTGATTTTGAAGCATGTTTTCTGTAAGCCCTTGGCCTTTTTCATTTCCTTTTTTAAGCTTTTTTATTTCTATGACAAGTGGAGCCATTGGCTACCCACAAGCTATTTCTCTCTAGGTCTTGGTATTTTCCTGGGATTTCTCTCCATCTGGATAGGGCAGGTGTTTCTCTAAATAGACCAAAAATGACAATATTGTGACCATCAGTCTTTGTTCCCTCTGGGGACAGGCACGAAACGTACAAGCGCTGAAATCAGGGAGGAATATGAAGCATCCAAGAGGAAAAAAAATGTGTAGCTGGCAGCTCTTATGTTGCAGTGAGGGCCAAATACACATCTTGGACTGTACATGAATTCCATTTTCAGCAGCTGACGTTTTAAGACTAAATTTGATAAAGATTGTAATATTTTTAAACATCTCACTCAGTGGTAACCAAAGCTGGATTTATCCAAGCAAAACACTTCAACTAAAACATTTAGTTTCTACTGTTGTTTCTGTGCAAAATACTTTATTTTATTCGGTCAAATACAGAGACCATCTCAGGACAGATAAAAGTCATTGGGTATTTAAGAGTTTTTCTGAGCCCAGGCTTTTCACATTGCCTAAGATATAAATTCCTGACTGTCCCTTTTTATTTCTCTCTCCATTAGTCAGAAGACGTCTGTGCTCCCTCTCTCTCATCCCTTTATGTGCATCTCTGCGGTGTAATGTAGCCCGAGGGGTTTGGGGTATTGTTCATGTCCACTCCAGCAGCAGGAGTGACAGCCCTTTGTCTACACAATACACAAAACACACGCAGTAACTACACACTGGGTATAATAGTTGGGGAGAGAGGCCTGGTCTAACACCAGATTTTAAGAAAAATGGGGCAGGGAAAGTTGTTGTTACTAATGTTTGTATAGTTCAGTCAATGTGGGTCAGATACTAAAACTAGAACTTTGTGCTATGGAGGTCTGCGTACAGCATTATCAAACACAGCCTCTCTAAATCTGAATCAAATTAGCTTTAAAATTCAATTCAGTGTGTGAACAGATATAGAGTTATTATTTGACGTTAAACTGGACAATTCCTGCTTTAAATGCCATGCTCTCTAAATAAACATCCAGGGTTCGTTAGGAGCAACGTCCTCTGATGGAGAGTCAGTGAGGGAAATTTCACTTGATACTTAGTCTACCTATCAGAAAATAACTATGTAACTCTTTCAGTATATATAAAGAGACATATTCATCAGGAGATTGAATTTCCTGTTTAATTGTGAAATTATACATTTCATTTATGTTACCTGTCACAGTAGAAATCTTTTAGCATTGTGTGTTTGTGCAGTACAAACAAAAATGCCGTGCCACCTGTTAACACCACATAGGTTTTATCAGGCACCTTGGTGGGGATGGATCAATGTTGAGTAAAATGCAAAATTAGAAGACTTCTAGGTTGGATTGTGCACTGTGCAAACACATTTCCAAATGCATTTTCAAAGTCAAAAGAATCAAATCCAAAAACTTTGTCGAATCGAAGCCCCCAGTCTGTGAACCTGCTTATTGTAGACCACACTCCTGACTCAGTGACAAGTCCAGTTAGTGTTTGAGATCTCTGAGAGCCATCAGAACAAGCTTACTTGTCTGAATGAGCATAAAATGAGAGAGAAAAATATCAGTCAAATCAAACTCAGATTCAGACTTATACTTTTTACCTGCCTCTTAACAACAGTCTGCACAGTTAACATATTTGCACATGTTGAAAGAAAGCCTTTCTATCTCACTGAAGAGCTCTTTCGTGCTGAGATGTAATGGGGAAAAGCATCTCCAGCGCCCTCTAGCGTGCTGAAGCTAAAAAAATACTCACTCCGGTTCACTTGACGTGTATTGTAGCTTACCTCCATGCTGCCTCCCCCTCTGCTACCACAAACCACAATGGCCAGGCTGGTGTGAGGAGCTGCCTCTTACTGTCATCACACAGAGACAGACAGGGGAACAGACGGGCCTCTACAGCAGCAGTAAGAGTACAGCGAGGATTTTACAGGACGCACTCGGAGGAATATGGCACCCCTGTGAGAAAAAAAAAGGTAAGTAAATGACCTGAAAATGGCGATGCTCTGTGCGTTACACCGGCTGTATCTCTGCCAAAAGCCGGAGCCACATCCCCTCACTGGAATCACTGATGAAGTTCAATGCTGCCGTCGTGGAAAAAATGGTTTCCCTTATCATTGGGCGGATGGAGATGTTAGTCCTGCCAGTCTATTATTGCGTAAAGGTTAGCCCAACCTTGTGGAAGTAATTTTTATTCAGGCACTGCTCAAGTTGCTGCAAAAAGATGTACTATTCGGGTTAAAAGTGGCTTATATCCTGCTGTGGTTATTGCTGTTGAGGATATGGTTGAAATGAGATCTACTGTAAGCCGTAATGAAGAGAGACATTGCGTTATTGTCCTTTCTCTCACAGATAATGGATCCTACAAAATAAAAGCGCGTTTAAACCGAGCTGCTGTTTCAGGTTGGTGCCGTGCGTCACCATCACCACCAGTGCGCACAGCTGTATGATGTGTTACCGTGAGTGAAGCCTCTCCTCTTCACGTGCCTCCTCTCCCACCGGAGCTCAGAGTCATGATGCTGCAGTGAAACCGTGCAGCACATTTATTATTGAGCAGTGCTGAAAGGTCCTGAGCAGAGAGGTGTAAGGACACTGTAGATGAATGAGTCACTCCCTGGGAGCATACTCTGATCAAAGACAGTGGTCTTGGCCGTGCTTTTGTCATTGTCTGCTTTTATATCATGTCTTGCTGGAGGGAGTGTATGTCACAAGTGTAATGGGAAGTGAGGCTTACTTTAGGGGGCTACTGAGAACCCCTATGAGCTTGGATAGTAAAGTGTAAAGCATAATGAGTGGAGAGGGGTGTGTTTACTGACATTTATGTACCTTTTTAGTGAATGGAAGGAAGAAACAAAAAAGAGCAAAGATGAAATACAATCAGTTGGATGAGTTGAAGGCTCTGTTATAGAGACACCTTTGGATTGGAGGCACACAAGTAATACACATCTGGACTACACAGACATTATGGATTAAAAATGTTCAATTTTACTCTGTTTTAGCTTCTACAAATAGTTGTCTATTTTTATGTTTTTTGATCAGTTCAACTGAACTCATCAGCTTAATATTTAACAGTTACATTTAATGAAATCAAAAGATTTTATCTTAAAAAGGTTCCTCCTGTTCACCTGTCCTGTCAACTGTGTTACAAGTGTTTTTTTCATAGACTGTATATACTATGGACAACTTGATTCCGCCTTCTGCCAGTATACAGATTTGAAGCCAAAAAGCTCTCGGTAATTCCGCGTTTTATCTCCATTTCCTGAAACCAACATTGCGCAGTAGCGTTGTGCGCATTTGGCGGGAGAGTCGCCCAGAGTCGCTGTGATGACACTCGGCTCAAGATGGGGGATATCTCTGGAGCGGGAAGTCTTATATAAGAATGGTGAATAACTCTAAATTCAATGTAATGTGAATTTATGTTGAAAAAGGTTGCATTCTACATCATAGTATCCCATAACATCACCATTGTAAAGCTCAAAATTCACATTTTCATATCAATTGGACAGAAAAACTCAGAACACCAGGTGTATAGACTCAAACACTTTCAAACAAATGTACTATCAAATCTGAATTATTTTTTATATGTTTTATATGACACAACATTTGTCTGTAACACAGTTGACAAAATGATAAATCAAATGTTCATTCATACAAATAATATAAAAGTCATTTGAGCTTAAGCTTGCCATTGATTTAGCACATTAAGGGTGTATATTATATAAACATCTAGTTTATTTATCAAAATAAGAACACTGATATTTTGAGTTTTTGGCCGACTTGAAATGTACCCCTAATTGTTGAATAAGTCATAAACGCTTTGCTCTTACAACAGGAATGCACTGTGGTATTTCTCCCACCTTAGTCTCCCTCTACTGTACTTTTTTTTTTGTTCCACATGAGAGGATAAGACCTGGTCTAAGTTTGCATTCCAGAGAACTATGTCAGGTCTTAACTTTCTCCTTTTACTGCAGGGTGTGTGTGTGTGTGTGTGTGTGTGTGTGTGTGTGTGTGTGTGTGTGTGTGTGTGTGTGTGTGTGTGTGTGTGTGTGTGTGTGTGTGTGTGTGTGCTGCAGAGTGGGAGTGGCTGAGACTCCTTCCATCCAGTCACTCAGAGGTCACAGGTTTGCTCTCCGCACATGTCAAACAAAATCCTTCTAACAAAGAATCAAAGGTGAGCGTGACAATTATGGGACAATACAGGTGAGAGGAGGCCAGTTCCAGGTTTCATCACTTATCCTGGAGGTGAGGGCTGTAAAATCAGGAAAACGTCTGAGTCTTTGGCTCTGTTGAAGTGATTATAGTCTGTCAACAATGTTAGCTCATATCACATTAATCAGCAGCTGTTGGTCTGGGTTATTTGGGGTTCACAGAGGGATTGGTCAGTGTTATCACAGTAAAAAAAAAACTGTCTGTGTCTCCTGTCCCTTAATTTGATTTTAGAGGTCTTATGCAGATTAATAGACTGCATGCATTTGTCTGTCTACTTGTGGTTTTTTCCCTACTTTCATATATCTGATTCAAAGAAATACTAGTTTTGTCTAAAGTCCATCAGGTTGTTTGAAGACAAAAAAATGATCATCCCAAATAGGTATCACTTTAGTGTTGGCATTTATTTTGAAAGAACCTGCAGACTTTAGCGGTTTGAGGCTTTCCAATGTGACTTTTTGCTGTTTTTCCCTGATCCTCTGCAGCTGTCTACTGTGTAGAACAAACAACAAAAACAAAAAGAGAAAATAATCTGATCGACCAAAAAAGAAACACATTTAATATCAGTTCCTTTAGTTTCTAGATCATTTTAAACCAACATTGAAGTAAATGAACTAACCCAGCACACTGCCAGCTGCTGCATCTGGCAGATTATGGCATGATGCCACCAGAGCAGGATGCACATAAAGGGAGGACAGCATGAGGGTTGATGGGTGTGAGCAAGGGCACAGATGCCATGGTGACCAGGCCCTGGCTGGTGCTCATTATAAGCTATGAGAACTGTCCTGTGTCATTTAGGATGGCAACCATGGACTGTATAGTAATATAGGACTCAGAAGAGTTTTATCCATAGACTGTATATAGAATGGATGCCCTCTGTGTCCTTGCTGGGTGAAGCCACTCTGAGAACAGCACACTCTAGTGACGGGCTGCATAGGTCATAAATCCCGCCTCCGCCAGCAAAGCTTATGGGGCTGTGGACAAACTTTGGAAATGAATTACACAGAATATAAATCTTTCTCCCCCGTTTGCGATGTTGACATGTAGTTACTGTAAGACTGGTTTGTGCTCAAGTCCTCTTTTTTCTGTGAAGCTCAGTTTTTAAAAGTTATTAGAGGGTTCATGTTCTCTATGATTGACACTTGATACAGCCTATGGGCGTATGAAGATTGCATAGCTCACCCGGGGGATACGCTGAGCAGAGCGTCATCACAGCCACTCTGGGCGACTCTCCCACTGAATGCGCACAACGCTACTGCGCAGTGATGGTTTCAAGAAGTGGAGAAAAAACACTGAATTATCGAGAGCTTTTTGGCTTCAAGTTAGTATACCGGCTGGGAAGCGGAACCAAGTTGTCCATAGTATATACTAGGGCTGCAGCTATCGATTATTTTAGTAATCGAGTACTCTATCGATTAATCTGTCGATTAATCGAGTAATCGGATAAGAAATGTTTTGCTCTCACTGTAATACTTTGCATTGAATCACGTTTGCCTCATTAAAAACCATCAGTAACACACAAAACTGAAATAGGCCAGGTCTTTCAAATGAATATTTTTACTGCATAAATCAGGAACCAAAAGTTTTACATTTTACCATGTAGTTCACATGAAACTACTGAAGGCAAGGTCTGCAGATGGTCTTTTAATTGCTATGGTAATGATCTTTGCAGTTTTCACTAAACCAGTCACAACTATTTCCAGGCTTTGGATCTAATTTTACTTGTTTAATTAATAGGCTGAAATAATATAATTCTTGGATACTGACATAATTTGACAAGCAAATGTACATTTATTCAATATATAAAAGTGTTACATTTTTATTTACATGTTGTTGTGTGTTGGTCATTTTGCAGCCCTCTGCTGCTCATCACACGCCTAGCAGGTGGTGTATAGCATTATCACCATGGATACACGGATGTTTGTGTGATTTTTTTCATCCACTGCCGCCCGGTTTGTGTCGTGTAGATGTTGATTATGAAAACACTTCGCAATAATTTGGAAACGTGAAGGGGGAGCTGCTGCTGCCCGGTGTTTACGGTAAATAGACGCAAACACCGACCAAGTGGACGCTTCGGTCTCCGAAAACGCCGAGACAAATTTACAAACAGCCACTATTTCAAACAACTGGGCTCATAATCGTGATGTAAACACTTACTTTCTCGCTAGAAAAAATATTATTATTGAATGAATTTATATAATTTGTCCGGTATGCAGTCGTTCTATGTAGCTTGTGGTAGGACTATTTAAATTTTCCCGGCGCTGCGTCCGGCCGGCACGAAATGCATTCTGGGGTATTTAGTATGTATGTGTGTAAACGCTCAGGCAGCCGCGGCATACTCAAATCAGCTTTGAGTAGTCAGTAGGCAGTAGCTACTGCTTGAGTAGGTAAGTAGATAGCAGGCAGTATGCCATTTCGGACACAGCAGCTGCGTCCGAATTGCCAAGTAGTAGTCGAAGTAGTAGTCGAAGTAGTATCGAGCATGTCCGAATTGGCCACCGGAGCGAGTAGCATGCTACTTCAGATACTACTTCAGATGCTAGACACGCCCACATTGTAGGTTGGTCTCGGTGCATCCTACGGGCATGCTACTGACCCAAAATGCACCGCGGGCTTCTTCTTCGTCCTCTTAAAAGTTGTAGAAGCGCATGTGATGCTAGCGCCACCAGCTGCTGCCTATTTAGATGCGTCGCGAACGCCGGCTGGCCACAGCAGCGCGCACCATGTCGGAGCAGCAGCAGCAGCAGGCGGGACCGCAGCAGTACAGATGTAAGGTTCATGTAACTTCACACACTGTCCTAAAAAATGTGCGGTTGTATCTCTTTGTCATGTCATGGTGTCATATTTTCCCAAGTAATCATTTTATGAGCAAGTGGCGACATCATGGAGGTAAAGCTCACTTATTCCATCATTAAACTGCACAGCTGCAGTACTACAGCCAGGCCCACAGATGAAGGGCTTCAGTTACCAGTTGCTGCGTCCGAACTGCCCGCTCGGATACTACATGCTACTGCTACGTGCTACTGCTAGATCCTACTCCTACATACTAAAAACGTTGGCCCAATTCGGACACACTAGACGAGCGGTGGGGAAAGACGACCCCCGCAGGCAGAGAGTAGGTACTGCGCCCGTGCAGACAGTGGTAACTGAAGCCCCTCATCTGCGGGCCTGGCTGTAGTACTGCAGCTGTGCAGTTTAATGATGGAATAAGTGAGCTTTACCTCCATGATGTCGCCACTTGCTCATAAAATGATTACTTGGGCAAATATGACACCATGACATGACAAAGAGATACAACCGCACATTTTTTAGGACAGTGTGTGAAGTTACATGAAACTTACATCTGTACTGCTGCGGTCCCGCCTGCTGCTGCTGCTGCTGCTGCTCCGACATGGTGCGCGCTGCTGTGGCCAGCCGGCGTTCGCGACACTTTTAAATAGGCAGAGCAGCTGGTGGCGCTAGCATCACATGCGCCTCTACAACTTTTAAGAGGACGAAGAAGAAGCCCGCGGTGCATTTTGGGTCAGTAGCATGCCCGTAGGATGCACTGAGACCAACCTACAATGTGGGCGTGTCTAGCATCTGAAGTAGTATCTGAAGTAGCATGCTACTCGCTCCGGTGGCCAATTCGGACATGCTAGATACTACTTCGACTACTACTTCGACTACTACTTGGCAATTCGGACGCAGCTACTGTCTGCACGGGCGCAGTACCTACTCTCTGCCTGCGGGGGTCGTCTTTCCCCACCGCTCGTCTAGTGTGTCCGAATTGGGCCAACGTTTTTAGTATGTAGGAGTAGGATCTAGCAGTAGCACGTAGCAGTAGCATGTAGTATCCGAGCGGGCAGTTCGGACGCAGCAAGCTTCTGTCTGTCCTCGTTTCCCTCCATGATCGAACCAAACGCGCGGCAGCGGAAGGAGCGGAAAGAGCACGCTTCTGCGCAACAGAAATAACCGTCCGTGTCAAACACCGTGCGCTGCACATGGTTCCGGATTTAAACGATTCCTCGAGGCATATAATTTGCCTCGAGGAATTTTATTAATCGAGTTACTCGAGTAATCGTTTCAGCCCTAGTATATACACTCTGTGGTTTTATTTCTGAAGCCAAGCGTTTTGGAGCTCCCCCTACTGACTGACTGCAAAATAGGTCAAAAACCCAGCCTCTATTATCCACTTATATATTAAATGAGTATTTGTGGGGGGAGAAAGGGGGGGAAGGTTCATTCTGGAACTCTGCTGATCTTTTAGAATCTTAAATGAAGAGTTTATGCTTCAGTCCATCAGAATAGCATGGGGTTTCATCCAAAAGAAGACGCTTATAGCTACCCAATGCTTTGGTGCTTTTGACTCAAATAAATGACTGCAGTGATGATTTTCTACAGAAATGGAGGATGTGTGCTACAATCAAATCACTACACTAAACCATCTGAGAAGTGCGTTGTGGAAGGATTTCAGTTGCTGCAAGATAAAAGATAAAAATAGGGCTCAATGTCAACTTTGTACAAAGCAGCTCTTACCCTGCAATGACAATATATCTATGGGCTCACCTGTGAGGCAGCAGAGGAGGTATAGCGCTGCTGATTCTGCGCTGTCAGCAGGTAATATTCAAATAAGAGCCGCACTCAGTCCTGATCAAGTTACAGAAACATATTTTTTTTTTTTAAATCCTTCAGCCCCCTACAGAAACAAGACAAATTTGTTGCATGAGTCCACTCCGTGCATCTAATGCATCCAAATCACCACATGTGCCTCGCCATGCATAATTACAGTATCGCCAACTGTGCAGGAGCCCTCCACCCACTAAACAAACACCCTAATGAGTGTTTGTTTTACATTAGTGTCACTTTCTGCCCTTGTGAGTCTCTTCCCAGTGCATTCAAGCAGAACGGTCTGCAGCCGAGTATCCACGCTTCACTGGAGGAGCCCTTCCCTCCACGGAGTCTCTGTACCAGAGGAATACTGGATATTTTGGGGGGGGCAGAGCCTCCCATCTCTTAGGCACGTTGTTATCCCCGCATGCTTTATTCATAGTTACCCTCAGTTTGTAACCGATAGTTTTTCTTACCCCTTGGCTGCGATTTTCCACATGGCCTGGTTCTCTGTGCCTCTTCAAGCTCGTCTCGTGGATGAGTGGCCCCTCAGAGGGAGAGATCATCTTGGCCCACATACCGCTACCACGCGCTCAGAGACCAGCACTCAGGGGGTTAAGGGCTTTTATTTAAATCACAGGGGTCATTCATTTAGCCGTGCGTGCGCTGGGTGTGAAGAGAGGCAATTGTTTGTGCCCTCTCACTGTAGCACCCCCAGCCCCCACTCTAACGTATTAGTGCATCACACAAATCAACTCGTAGCAGGGGTGATTGATCATTACATCTAGATGGGGCCTCCAGCCTCCTGTTGTTGCCATAGTAACAGTGGACGCTCCAGATGTGAGTATCAGAGATGAGATCGGATCTGTTTAAAATTGGATGCTGCAGCTTTAATACTCTGAGTAATATGTTTTATTGAAATATTTATTAAACCCGGCTATAGCTACAACTCTGGTCATGTCCAACATGTGTTTGTTTTAGTAGCATCAATAATTTAGCAGAAGAAGGGACCTGGCTTTATCATCATTTTACAGCTTACAGGTCTGCAAAATACATTACATTTAACTTCAGTCTCTGATATTAAATAGTTTAGATTTGGTGCAATGTATTGCAATCTGTAAAAAGAAAATGGCACTCTCTCTTTCTCATACACAGCCTCCGAAAGACAAAAATTGCCCCCCTCTGTGTCTTCTTCATGGAAATCTGCTTTATTGCTTCTTTTTCAGCCATCATTTTCACACTCTAATCTCCACACTGGTACACTGCTGATGGAGCTATTTTACTGTTTACATGCACCATCAGCTGCAGAGATAGCAAATAGCCTGTAAACGAAGGCAGAGAGAGAGTAATCAGGGGTTAGTAAAATGAGACTGGGTTGGGGATGGTTGTCAGGACAACAGCCAGGAGACAGACAGGGCGTAGATTGAGGGCTAAGTAACAGACATGCATGGTGAGGCAGTGAGGCATCCTCATGCAGGGTGCAGCATATATTAATGTCCAGGAAGTGGGTGATACAGGAAGTCTGAATTCATAATGACATGAAGGAATAACAAGATGGAAAGAAGCCCAGAAAATAAGAGACTGTTGTCTTACATAAAAGAGTGATATTTAGTTATAAAGCTCCTGTGGGGAACATTTAGTTTGTGTCAGTTTTGGCGGCCCCTATGGACAAAGCAGTCTTTTTAATATCATCCTTTATGCTCAAGCAGCACTTCTGACCAAAAAAAAAAAGATATGCTAACTTTTGGCTGTCAAATTAATCAATTAATGTGAAAATGTTTCTTTACCTATTAAACTGACACCTACCCTCCCACACTGGCTTCAGGCAATATGAGTTACACTGTAAAATTGTCAGTCTTGTTACTAATAGGCTAATTTGCATTTGTACATTATAAAAAGGCTTCAATATAGATCGCAGTCTATTTCATAAGCGTAAAAAATCCTCACAGGAGCTTTAAATGCTGTTACAGAAGAGATTACAGTAGATTTCTGTTTTCTTTTATTTACAGTGTGGCTGTCATGGCAGTAGCACTCAAATAGAGTTTAAAATGTGTTAAATACAACCCAATATAATTCAATAGTAGAAAGAGGGAGATTAAGTTGCTTAGGTTTTGAGGAAGTACTTATTATGTAGCTTTAAATGTGACATTTTCATATCTTACAATGGAGCCAGTTGGAGCACAGTTTTTTCTTGGGTCTTCTATGGTATGGTTTTAAAACTCATACAAAATAATTTTGTCCATTCACCCTTCAGGTAACTTTGTAGTCTCTGGGGATGCATTATTTTTTTTACAAGACAAACTTTGCCAGAAAGGCAGCACTGTGTGTGACACAGTTTAATAGCCTTAAGGGAGAGCTGTGCCAGTGAAACTAACAACTTTCATAAATTGTGTTTTCAATGAAGGGCTTTAGCTTCTGTTTTTACAGTGTTTCCAAATAAAGTTGATCTTGTAAATATTCAAGTACAGAGTGCTGAATTTTGCCAAGTCTGAATCAGACTTAATTTTGCTTCTTACAGCAATTTTACAAGGGTAGACATAAATAAACATTCCAGGTCCACACATTCAAAATGATCATGTTTTTGCTCTTACAGTTATGGTGCCTTAATTGTAGCTCTTTATTTTTAACAGTGGGTTATTTTTCCTATTTTGAAATGCAGTGTACAAACTGCCTGGTAAACTGTGCAGAGTATTTTTTGCATTCTTTGTCAGACACTGTTTGCAGGATTTTGTTCAAGTCTCACTTATCTTTTATGTCTCCATCTTTCAGGTCAATGTGGCTACTAAAGCAGCTCTCTGGACTAGTCGTTAGTGGTCGTGGATTCCTGAGGTCTGTCTCTATAGCAACCCTTTCCTCCTGAGTGCTGCTGCCAACTTTCTCTCCCCGCCACAAGCCAAATCTCTCCTCATCCCCCTCCGGCCAATCGCTGCCTCTGAACTGCGCTGGAATGGACACAGAGTCGACCCACTCGGGCTACTCATATCACTCGAGCCGCTCCGGGAGATCAAACCGACATGGGTATGTTTGCTGTCTGTGTGCCTCTCCACCTGACTGTCTGCCTTTCTGCTCTGTCTGCCTTTCTCTTCAATCACACGACGGCTATGGGAGTAGATAGATATAGGACACAGATTTTGCCGTGTTTGTGGCAAACATGCCGATCGCAGACAAATATATGAAAAAAGAATCCTGGAGAGCGACAGAGAGAGATTGACACAGACTGAGCTCATGGATTAGGGTTGTCACAGTCGATTGGCTTTAACCCATTTCAATCAGTTCATTCTGTAAGTGAGAGATTACCATCCTGTCATTTCCTCACCCCCTGTGTTAGTATACTGGAAGATGAATTCTCCTTTTCCTCAGGGCTGAAACTAACAATTTACTCTAAGTATTGCATAGTCCACCTATTGGTGCTGATTAATTGATCAATCATTTGGCCTATTAAGTGTTAGCGTCATTGTAGATTCAGTGGTTTCTTCTTTAAATTTCTTGTTTACTCAGAAAAATTGTTCAACTCAAAGATGTTCACATTTTTAAAGCTAATGTGGGAAATTTTTGTTCAAAGAGAAATAAAAAAAAAAGGCAAATGAATGGTTTTTAGGTTAACTAATCCATAAATTATTATGTTGACTGTTTTGTTCACAGTGAATTTTGGTTTGAATGCCCATAAACTAGCTAGATAGAATTTGATAGAGTTTATAATTGAAATGTTCAGCTTGTTCATGATTTTCTCACCAAAAACTACTTGGGTAGATATTCGGATGTATTCGGATGTTTGTCTTTTGGTCATTTATTAAACGAAAGTGTTAAAATTCTGTGAATTATCCAGTGTTAAAGTTCAATTTTAAAGTTATCCCTTTAATGCCTGAAACCACAAATTATGGCCAGAAAATTCAAAATTTTTTGGAGCTGAAATGTCTGACTTACTACTGAAAACCAAAAGAATCAAAATGTCCTTAAAATTTAACAAATATATTTATTTATCTCATTTGATACATTAGTAATTTGTTGATCATATTGATTTGATAGAAGTATATAAAAGTATGTATCAAATATGATACAAAAGGCATTAAAGGGTTAAACCTATTTGGCTGGTTGTGGGGCGCATAATCAAGTCACTCAAATTTTAGTTCAAAGATGAATTCATGAGTTAGGGAGAAAGTGTCTCAAAGAATAAAGTATAAGTTTATAACCACATCAGTCTGTTTTTGTGTGATCTTGTCTCTTAAGTTTATTGTGTTTTTATTCAAGGGAACGAAGCCGTGAGCGTCACAAAGCCAGCAGTAAAGACAGCGTCCGATCAGAGAGGTCTGTCGTCATCAACCCCCCTGACTCGCCCTCCCAGGAATCCCCTGTTCACAATGGAGAGCCACTGCCAGGAGACCCTTCACCTGCAGGAGAGCATGGAGATGAAGTGCAGGTATTTAAAAAACACAAAACTGCACAAAAAAGGAGTCTGAACTATGAAGGAATGCGGGCTAGTTTTAGGAGTGATGTTTTCCTTCTGAGTAAATCAGAAAGCTCTCTAATCCCTCCATGAACTCTGCACCACGACCTTTTAAACTCAACCTCACAGCTGGCCGCCCATTGGCACAACGCCTGACACATTAATAACATTGTGACAAGGGATCAAATAGGTCAGAGGATTAGTGCCCATCTTGGAGGCCTAATACGAACTGCCCTGGTGACTCTGGATATAACAATCATACGTTACAGCTTTAAAAGTACAGCAAACTGGTTCAAGTCACTGTAAAGCTGATTTAGCTGAGCTTTGAGATCTGAAGCAGTCTGTAGAATAGATACAGCAAAGCAAAATGCAAAGAAAAGTCAATACATCTTTTTGTCTTTTTGTTTTATGTTGGATAAGAAGACTGACTGACTGTAGCTTCACCTGCTTGTAGACTTTGAAGGTAGATAGAGCAGCTGGTTAGCTTAGATAAGCATAACAACTAGAAACGAGGGAAAACAGTTTGTCCTAAAATGTAAAATAAAAAGTCATCTTGGTATTTTAAGAGCTTAGTTTTGATCACCTTAAATCTTGTTTGTGAAGTCTGCACAGAAACCACAATCTGAAAACACTTTGGTGGTTTAGAGGTTTCATGTACCAGACTTCAGAGTGTGTGTTTTGTGAGATTGTACAAATCTTCCAGCTAAAGGGACTACTTTTTTGTTGTTTTTGCTTTTGTTTTTGCATATCAAATGGTAGTAATTCTCAGGGGTTCTCAACAGTGTTTTTTCTTTCGTTTTTGACCAAGACAATCGAGCTGCTAAAAGTCTGAGCGCTAAGATGACTGTTTCCAGGCTGTAAAAATTGACTGTAAAAATGAAGCCAAAATAGAGACATGACAGATATTGACAGATTGTCCTAATGACATTCCCAAGATGTACTACCATGTACATACCTAGCCTGCATTCAGCTCATAGATAATGTGGTAAGACGTCTTTATTGTCAGTTCAGTCCACAGCAGGACAGATTCTTGAGTTGGTTTGATAAGTTCAGTAACTCCTGTGTTTTTGTTTATGTTTTCAGTCTTCATCCTTTCACTACTTTTTTTAATCCAGGGAAGGATTCTGCAGGATCTGGATTTGTCAACTGAGCCGTCAGTCATGATGTCAGATCCACTCAAATATCTAATCTGACTTCACTCTTGGTTAGCTGTCACATTGTCAGTCTTTTCACTCAGTCTATTACCTTCAGTATCATAGATAGGATACACATGAGTCTACGAGTCACCAAAAGCTCATCACTTTTTGTTGTTGTTGTTGTTTTCACATTTATGAAACACAGAACATATGCAAATATAGACATAAAAAATCTCATGTTTGGCATCTTAATGGGAGAATTGTGTTGTGAAATCAGTTCAGTGTTGGGTAATTCTTACTGAACAAAAAGAAACAAAGGTGAATAAGATAGAAAGACAATGAGAAAATAGGTGAAGAGATATAAATGTTGTTTATAGAGACCTCTGCCTCAGGCCCCTTTTCAGCTCTCTGACCCAATTGAAACCCACAGTAGAGAGAGAGAGAGAGAGAGAGAGAGAGCGAGAGCTTTTTCATGGAGAATATTCTGTTATTGAGAAAAGGGGGAAAGGTGTGTGTGTGTGTGCCTGAAAAATTGGCACTCCCCTGTTGTGATTATAATCATATAGTATGTAAAATGTCTGTGGCTGGACTTGTTGATGATTTCGGTGTGCTCTGACCTATTTTGCCGTCTCCCTTCCTGGCCGAGCGACCACATTCCACGATGTCATGTGATTGTCAGCTCATAGCTTGCGTCCATTGTCCGCAGTGTAATGTAATCTGCCATTGTGCTGTGGCAGCCCTCCAGACGAATGTGTCCAAACGGCACAGGAAGCAGCACCATCACTACTACTACTACTATACTACTACTACCAAATTCTGCTGTAGCCAATTTCCTTTTTGGAGCAGCTCTCTTGGATTTCAGAGCTGCTCCAACACTAACAGGATGGAGAGCCCAGAGACATTTTCACCGGCTGAGCAGAGCCTTAGCATCCAGCCAAACCCCCACTTTGAGGAAAGCTGATATGAATAATCCTCCGTGTTTACAGGCATGCCTATGACATAAGGATACAGGCTTGGACCACAGCTTGTGTGTTTATGTGTGTGTGTGTGTGTGTGTGTGAGTCACAGAAAGAGCGCCAAGTCTGATACTGAGCCTGTCCACGCCGCTTTGTGCGACAGTGTGACTTCTTGCCAAAAGGCAGCAGCTTTAATTCACACTGTTAGCTCTAGCAACACCAAAGCATATGTTGAGAGGCGCATATTCTTGTTTAGGCATTTCATTTTTTCATCCCTGACCCTTTAGGTCAAACATGGATGCTCTCATATCCATCCCGAGGGACCGCAGATTTTTATTTAAAAACAGAAAAATTCAAGAAGATTGTTTTTATTCCATAACACTCAACATAAACTCTTCAGATTATTTATACATATATTCGACATTAACTCACCAGTAAACTCACATTTGCTGGAAATGTCAAGAATAAGCTTGTGCATAAGAAACAGAAACCTTGATGAAACCCAGACAAAGAAAGAGACACTTATCTGTGTAGAACTTGTATTTTTTTGTGCTGTAGTGTCTAAAAAACATGCTTACATGCAGGATAACACACACAACACTATCTAAGAGTCATTCTGACCTCTATCCAGGCAAGTGGGGCTTAGCTACTGTATTTTGTAGCTGGCAGAGTGTTTGCTGTGTGTTTTTGTGTTAGCTTCGGGGCTAATCAGTCTGTTGTTGTGTTGTTGTGCTTTGTGATGGAGGAACAGGCCTGACTGTAATCCTTATTCATTCTGTGCCAGACAAAAAGACTGCCAAGCAAGCGGCAGCAGATATGCTCTCTCCCTCTCTCTCTCTTACTGTCTCTCTTTCTCTCTCTCTCTCTCTCGCTGTCCGTCTGCCCTCCTCATCCCCTCTCTCAGTTTCTGCCTCGTTCTCCTCTTTTTACAGTAGACAGAGATCAGGCCTGATTACTGTGGCATTAATCTTTGGGATTAGTCCAGTGAGACTTAATGGCTGGTTTTAGCAGTGTATTAGCTCAGTAAGTGATACACTGTGAAAGCTTGTCTGTTCGGGGCCAAGTTCAGATTCAGAACCAGGGACTGATCAGCTGTTATGGTCTGTATTTACATCACCATATTTACCACAATAGGTTAACCTTTTCCCAGCAGAACTAGCACCCCTAGCCTTCAGTCCTACATGCAGATGCTGGATACACATTTATCAGCACACAGCCTATATACAACTTTATCTCTATTTTTTCAGATCAAAATGAGACACACCATATGATGCCATCTGTCCTGTACACTTATTTATATCCAGGTAGTAGACCATTATAGCAAGTGGCAGATGGCAGCACTACAGCGTAGATGCAATCTATAATCAGCATTTCTAGCAGATATACGGATTTGTTGTGTAGGAGATGTTTAAACATTCAGCAAAATGATGAAACTAAAGCCTTTAATTAGCAATTAAATACAGTGAGGCTTAGACAAACTAGCTGATAGGTAATTCACAGTTAACTGTGACCTTCTTTGGAATATTTTCCTGCCCAATAGGACCTTAATTTACAAAGTAAATGTCATGGTTGTTGACTGTAGACCATAGACTCTATAAAACATGGATGTAGCCTCAGTGTGGTCACCTTGGGTTTCTGAAGAGGTGTTATAAGGCTAAACAATGGAGGTCATCATATTGGAAATGCTGGTTTAACCAAGAGGCAGAGTTAAGGCAGGTCTATAGTCACCTAGCAAACGACAACAACACCAACGACCGTGGACCAAGTCAACCACATCCATAAATATGCAAAACAGACAATTTAGAGAAATTCACTTTACAGAAAAAACAGGTCTTTGGCAAGAGGTGATGTTTTTGCTTTTAAGTTGGGCATTTTAACATGGACATAAATGGGGTCGCCTAGGTTTTGATCATAAAAAAGAGTCAACTATATTCAGGCAAGAATCCTACCATTATTTATTTATTATTATTATTATTATTATTATTAGTAGTAGTAGTAGTAGTAGTAGTAGTAGTAGTATTATCCACAGAGCCAAAGATATGAAACAATCATTCATTCATTCATTCATCAACTGGTTATTAGGAAATAGGAGAGCATTGTGTGGACATAAGGTAAAACTTGTGCAACATAGTTATTGTAGATCCTGCCTGCTATGCACGAAACACCATCAAGACAATAAGTGGATGACTTCAAGTGGGGATGATTTGTGAACTGCTGTTTCCAGGATTAAGAATAAACTGCCAAACATGACAGTCTATGATTGAGTCTGTTTGTTTGCCAGAGTATGACTGGCATTGATTTGAAGGTTAGGACTTTATTTAACAAGCCTCTGTAAGGTATGAGAGGAATAGAAATGAGAATGGACTCTAAATAGACTCGACACCACACTGACAGAGCTGGTCCTCGGCTTAACACATTCATCTGGCGGACAGCAACAGAATTAAAGGCTGCATCCTCCACCACCCCCTTTCTTTTTTTTGATTCACTCGCCTCTGCCCCTGTCTCCCTTCCTCTCCTCCTACTTAACCTCCCTCTACTCGTCTTAGCGTGCCCATTCATCTTCTGGCTCCTGCAGCACGGCTGAGTTAATCAGCTGTGAACAGTAATGGAGGGCAGAAATCTCATTCACACAGCAAGAATGAAAATATGCAAACACAAGGTGGAAACCGTATTTCAAATCCCACAAACTGCAGCAGTTTCCCGTGACCTCATCAAATGATATTGACTTTTAAATAGTCAAGCAATGGCACAGGTTCAATGAGATTCACACACACACTCTGCACAGGTGAGAAATCACACGTCTGTCTTTAGCTTTTGTTACTCTCAGCCCGTCTGGATTCCCTGCAGCTTCCCCTGCCTGTATAGATTGAGTTGGAGGGCTTTACAGGCTGTTTGATGTGCTTAGGTGAATGGGTGTGCACACGTGTGTGAAGCCATGAAGGTTTATTTGTTCAGCTTGTCATTTTTCAGCCCTCTGTCCTCTCTGTGCAGCTGCGCCTCCTCTGATTGGTCGTCAGCACAGAGATGTACAATGCGGCGTCGCTCTGGGAGACAGTGAATTGCTAATTACTTGAATTAATGACAGGCAAACAATAAAATAATGCCTCTTTCTGCAGACTTGTCATGAATTTATTCTGTTTTTGTCTCTTTGTTGGAAAGATTTATGCTTAAAATGAGCCTGCAGGCTATGGGGGGAAAAAATGACTCTAATTTGCGATGATGGGCCTGGAATGCTCCAGCTTTTATTGTTGTGAGTCAGTGTGTGTGTGTGCGTGTAAGTGTATGCATCCCCCTGCCAAAGTGAACTTCCAGACTTGTCATCTCATATTACTTCAGTGAGGCTTTGAAGGCTTGTCATAATGAGGCAAAACTCCAAGAAAATCAAACATCCTTGAACAACACAAAGAATGATCTGTGTGCACAGAGCGTAAAATCCAGAGGAGTGTCTTCAGCGAAAAAGGGAGTGAAAAAAGATGATTTTTGTCTGGCACAGTCAAGTTTATATCTGTGATTTGGCCATGAATGTTTCTCCCATAAATCAGCAACTTTAGATAAAAAACACTCTTGCGCATTGCAGTAAATGTAAGTACAGAAAGTTTTGGTCCTTTTTTCCATATTTAAAAGATATCTGTTATGACCAAATATGACATATCTGTTCCCTGCTACTTAATTCAGTGTTTATATGTAAAAGGAGGCATTGCAAACCAAACTGAGAGCTTTAAGACTCATTTGCATTAGTAAATTGTTCTTTTGATGCTACATTGGTCTCCCTCCTCTCCTCTGAGCATTTTACTACATTTCAGCTCATTATATTCTTGCATTCATGCATTCAATGTGTCCCAAAATGCTGCAAGCAGCTGTTTTCAGCAATAAAGCTCTGATAATCCTGATATATCACACCCACTGTTGCAACAAACAGCAGGCAGACAGAAAAATATCTGATTAAATATACATCATGTAATCTTGAGGGTCATATCTCTTCTCTTCAGGATGACAACTGGGGAGAAACCACCACTGCGGTGACTGGTACTTCAGAGCTGAGTATTTCCCAAGAGGAAGTAGTTGGACTAGGGAAAGAAATTCAAGACCGGACCCAAGGCTTCCGCCGTTATCTCCCCCTGGCTGTGGGCTCATGTGTGGGGCTGCTGGTGGTGGCCACGCCCCTCGTCTTCCTGCTCCTCCCGGCGGTCATGTGGCCTGACAGACTGCAGACCTGTGGTGCCGCCTGCGAGGGCCTCTTCCTCTCCATCTCCTTCAAACTCCTCATCCTCCTGGTAGCCATTTGGGCTTTGTTTCTCCGACAGGGCCGTGCCAGCCTGCCCCGAGTGTGTGTGTACCGTGCCTTCCTCACCACGCTCACACTTCTGCTCACCATGTCTTATTGGCTCTTCTATGGCGTCAGGATTCTTGATGCTCAGGTGGGTATGAAAGTGTTTGTTTTGACACTTTCTCACTGTGCTCATTTTGACCAGATATGACCATAGATTAAAGTCTTTAAAAATCATGTTTATTATTTGACCTTAAAGGACTTTTAAGTATTTTAAGAATTATTTAAAACAGAAATTAGGTAGTTTAAAGTTTGCTGTGTGCTTTTTTTTTTCACATCATTTTTGAAAGCTGTAGAAATACATGTTCTGCAGTGATGTTGAGATTTCCTTTTTTTTCATGGAATAATTCTTGGCTTTTTTCCTCAAAAATGAATATTACTGTTATTGTTACTGTTATTAGGAAAAAAACAAACACACACAGTTAAGTCCTTTACTGTTCTGTGTCATTTTTAAGAGATTTTGTGGTTTAAAATGGATTTTTATGGATAGCAATGATTTAACATGAAACTTTGACAGCTTTTAAAGGTGCATTTTTTGTATTTTAATGCAGAATTTAATAATCTTCAAGAAGTATTAATAATTGGCAAGGCAAGTTTATTTGTATAGCACCATTCATACACAAGGCAATTCAAAGTGCTTTACAGATGCAAGAAAATACATAAGAAATTTTAAAAAAGAGAAATTAAAACAATTTAAAATCAAAAAGACATAAAACGATTTAAAATCAGAAAGACATCTTAGAATCAATAAAATATTAAAATATAATTTTAAATCATCAAAACAGTTGAGATTGACAGAACAGCTATAGGAAAGCTGCAGTAAACAGTAATGTTTTCAGCCTTGATTTAAATTATAATTGATGGTATTTTACTGTGTTACTTCTTTTTAATTTGATTATATTTCATGTTATCTGTATTCTACTTATTTGTTTTGTCTTATATTCTGCTGAATAATAAAGTCGAGGTTTTCACCAAACAGAAGTCAAAGTTTTTTTCATTGAATCTGTGATTTTTTTTTTCATTGCAGGATGAGGACTACCACGGTATCGTCCAGTTTGCAGTTTCCCTTGTGGACTCCCAGCTGTTCGTCCACTACCTGGCAGTGGTGTTACTTGAGCTCCGTCACCTCCAGCCCTGTTACAGCGTGTGTGTGATGCGCTCCACTGACGGCGAGACACGTCACTACAACATAGGACAGCTCAGGTACAAACATACAGTCATTATTAGGATTTCAGTATTAGGACAGACAGCACCTTACACACAGTAAATACAAAAAAGAGGACTGAAACAATTCCTGTGACAGTTTCACAACCTTTCTAAACACTTCACACTTAGACACACTCTGGCTCCTGATCACAGTCGTTACACTCTATCATGTTGAAGTGTGTGTAATTGGAGGCCGTGTCCACAGGGGAGAGTGGCACAGTAATTGAGTTACTCAGCAGCTTCTTCTTCTTCTTCTTCCGTTTGCTCAAGGCAATCTATTTTTTTCTTAGTTTCTGTGAGAGGTTGCTTGACCTTTGTGTGTGTTACTTTGTTTCCTCTCTGATCAAGTTTCTAATGAGAACGGGAATAATTATAAGAGTAGTGGTGGTAGTCGTGGTGAAGAATGAATGCAGTTTATCTTCTGATTTTAAAGAATTTGATGAGATGATTTAACTGAAAGTTTGATTGCACCCAGTTCTGTGTCTTATTTAAATCAGCTGAAATGCAAATATCTTTCCTGTTGTGCCTGAAATATCTCTCATCATCTCTTACAGCATTCAAAAGGCGGCTCTTTCCATTTTGGAGTACTACTACAGAGATTTTCCACTCCATAACCCAGCACTTCTCTCTGCCTCGAAGCACCGAGCTGCCAAACACCTGGCCGGGTTAAAGGTCTACAACGTAGACGGTGAGTCTCCTACAGCTGTCTGGAAAAATAACCCCTTATTTTAAATCACAGCCACATCTCAGTCCTCCCTCTTGGGCGCACCACTTGGCCTTAGCCCTCTGTTTTGAGCTCTCCCAGAGAGGGTGGTGAGTCCTTCTTTATCTGAGGACTAATGCAGAGATGGCGTCAGGAATAAGGCAGGTTAGAATAACTTTTCATAATTAATGTTTTGTGGGTGATAAAACTGTCAGGTCTTCGATTTTATTTTCTGGATTAGTTGAGAAACACATTTATACATAAAATTCCAATCTTAAAAGATTTCATATGCATCTTTATATCTTCTCTCTTTGCTTCCTTGTTGTGATTTTTCTTCTCCTCATTTCTGTCTCTTGCTTTGAGCAGCTTTTAAAAACAAACTGAGAACCTATCTTTTGGATAGTAAGTACAGATAAAAGTCCTCTGCATCCGTCCACGCAGCACTTTGTCACAGGAAGCAGCTAATTTCACGGCTCAGCTCACTCCATCTTTAGTGCACTCTGTAACCTCCATGCCTGACATAATGTATGTACGCACTCCTGCTACACACGCACGCACGCTCCAACTGTGGTGCTACTGTGCACTTGATTTATCCTCCCCCTGCTCCCACTGACACACACAGACAGAAACCCCGGAGTGTCACATATAACTCTCTCTCTAAAAAGGCCGCTCACTCACCACTCATTGATCCTAAATCTGTTGCATGACATTGTGGGTTTCATGATCTATTGCAGGGATGCAGTATGGGATATGGTGTCCTTGCAGCACCTTCCATCCACCCCACCCCCCTCTGCTATCAAAGAGCAACGGAAAGGCCTCCAGAGGGTGGTGGAATTTCAAGCCTTAAATAATTCATCAGAGTAACGCTCATTCCTCACACACTCCCACGTTTCTCCTTTCTCTCGCTCAGCCTGACTCCAGCTCAGCTCGCTCTAGCTCTCTTTCTTTTTTTTTTTCCATTTTTGTTTCATTTTTCACTCGCCCCTCTCTCAGTCAAAGTCACTTGCGCTTATCAGACAGTGTGAATATACAGGCCAGGGTGTTAAACAGGCTTGTGTTTGTTCGTATTTTCAAAGGAAAATATTTACAAAGCTCCTCGTGCAAATAATATGACATTATTATTCTCTCCACAGTACACAGAAGGGTGCTTCAATCCATGTTACTAAATTCAGTCTCTTCCCCACCTGTGCATGTTTGCATACTCACACCCACATGCAGAATAGATCATTAATGATTTATTCTTACCTGACCTGCAGCGTTTACTCTTTATATCCTCCCCTTAAACTACTGTTCTTCATGAATATGGACCAGATCTGACTCCCTCACATTAATAAATCCAAATAACTCGAATTTACTGCTCCACAAGCTCCATTAGCTTTATGGGTGTCTCACATAAACCAGCAAGTTCACTCATCAGACAGGAACTCTGGCCTTTGAAGTGCAAAACGATGAATATTTAACCCACACCCCAACAATAAAGAAGGTTTCTGCATCTGAAAGTCGGTGCAGAGATGGAGATACTTCCAGAGGAATTTGCCTCTTTTCTCAGTGTTATAATTAAAAATCTCATTGAATGAGGGATGTCATCAGGATGCCCCAGATTCTCTCAAATCTCTATAAACGGAAGTGTGTTATAAACTACAGACTGAATAGCTGTGTTACAGTTGTTTCTCACCTCCTGTGATGTTAAACCTGACCTTTCCTGTCCGTGATTCTAGTTGTGATACAGTTCATTAATCAGAGTCTGCTGGGATCTCCCCCCACCGTGTCACACAGTGTGATATAACCAGTTTGCCTCTGTCCTTTCTTTGCGGTACAGCCCCAGGGAGCACAGCAGGAGCACAGCCCAGTAATGGGAATCAGTCACGGGCCATGGTTACAGCTGCCGGAAAACGCAAAGACAGTGCCCACAATGAGCTGTACTATGAAGAGGCAGACTACGAGAGGAGGGTCCGGAAACGCAGAGCCAGGTAAAGGACGGTGACAGTGGGGTGGTGGGAAATCTTGGTGATTTAGAGAGTCTCTCTTGCATCACCGACATGCATGTACTATATGTAAATGTGATGGCACTTGTGCATATCTTGTTTTGCCACAATTGTCAAAATTTTCAAGCAAGGTACAGAAACAGATTCTTCATGCAGTGATTGTTCTCATTCATAATGTCCATTTGAGAACCATTTACAATACACTTCATCGTGAATAAGGGTGGACAGACTCCACACTCCTTAGCCCGCACACTGATTTGTTGAACAGTTCGTCTGACAAAAGTATGTTGTATAATCTCATTGCAGCCCGTATCAGGTGGATGTCTTTAAAGGAAAAGCATCTCTAGTCACTCTTTTGATAGCATGTAGGGTATTTGATGCTGCAGTATGTTTGCGAACAGTTAGCTTATCGCTGTGTTCTCAGGCTGGTGGTGGCTGTGGAGGAGGCCTTCACTCACGTCCGGAGGATGAAGAAAGAAGACGAACGTGCTTCACCGTCTGACATCATGGACGTACGTGAAGCGGCTCTGGCTATCTTTCCCTCCATGGCGCGTGCCCTGCAGAAATACCTCCGCACCACCAGGAGGCAGCACTGCCACAGCATGGAGAGCATTCAGAAGCATCTTGCTTTCTGCCTCATCAATAACATGAGTCCTAAGGTGAGTTTGGACAACAGATTTAAGACCCAATTAGGAAATAAAGTATGAAAATGATGCACAAATAGAGGTGCTCAGTAGATCCACACTGTTTGATCTTTCCACTTTACTTAAAGGGATATTCCGGGGTAAAATTAATTTAGAGTCAAACACACCGTAACACTAAGTTAGACGCCCCCTCGAGAGATGATTGTTGCCGACCGCCTGCTTCTCTAGTTATACCAACTTTAGTAACAGCTGCAGATAACAATACACAGCGGTCTGAGGAGCCACACACAAACCTCAACTGAAACACCACTCTATAGCCACAAATAATGCCTTATTTGTGGCGTTTTGGTTGAGGTTTGTTTATGGCTCCTCAGACTGCTGTGTATTGCTATCTTGTAGTCATTAATAAATTTGGTATAACTAGAGAAGTAAGCGGTTGGCAACATTCTCCTGAGGGGGTGTCTAACTCGGTGTTACAGTGTGTTTGACCCTAAATTAATTTTACCCCAGAATATCCCTCTAAGATTTATGCTTTTTCTTTGCGTGCAGTCTTTGTGGTATCACTGGTTGTTTTTGTGTGTCCAGGCTTTTCTCGAGGCGTACCTGGCCCCTGGTCCCACCCTGCAGTACGGCCCTGAGCGCTGGATGGCTGACCAGTGGACTTTGGTCAGCGAGGCTTCTGTCACCAGCGGCATCAAGGACGGATCAGAGTTCCTGCTGAAATGTCTTGACTTTAGCTTAGCTGTGACCATCAAGAGGATCCCTTACATCCGTATAACTGAAGAGTACATCGACCCCAAGTCTCACAAGTTTATACTGCTGCTCCAATCAGAAACCTCCGTTTAACCAGAGCTGAAGATCTGGGCTTCAAGGACTGTTACAGCTTACCAGTAGGTTTTTCAAAAAAGAACTTTTTGTACCATTTTTGTACTTAAGTTTATGTAATTTTTTTACATTTAGGATCTCTGTGTCATTGTCTTTGCTCGGGTCACATGAAAGTTGATAAAAAAGACAGAAAACTGGAAGGAATATGCTCAGATTTCTCTATCCTGACGTTTGCAGAACACTGTTCAGGTTTTCCTCTCCGTACGTCAGATCACACTCCCTAACTTCTTCCTAATTTTTGCATGTGCCAGTGTGTGCCTGCGTGGCAGAGTTCATGACTTAGGAGGAGAGTGCGATTTAAGTGTGCATTAGGGTGTGATTGGAGTGTACACCAAGGATCTATCTCAGTCTGTCTCTTGTTTCTCCTGAATGGTCAAAAAACTGGAAATTTGATACAACCTTTCAACAAAACTACTCTTTTTTAATCTTTGCAACATTTCTTTAACTGTCTTGTATCAAAGATGTTTGTACAGTATTTATATGTGAATATACCGTATCCCTCAAGACTTTTTTGTTTTTATAAATTTTTTTGTTTGTTTGTTTTTATTTGCTTCTCAGAGATTTTCTTTTTTCTATCATGTCTGTTTGGGCTGTATTTGTGGAGAAAAATGGACTGTAAATAGGAGAGGATGTTTGTAAATGTCAGAAAAATCACTGGAATCTCTCGGGCTGGATGCTTATTACAGTGCAGCTGAGTGTGTAAGAAACCAATATGAAACCAAACAAGCACATCATTATGTACACACTTGGAAAACCCGGTGTTTGCAGTGGTGACTGGGGCTGTCACAGAAACACCTCAGGTTGTTGCAGGACTTTCTTATTCTTTTAGTCTTGTATTGAAACCACTCTTTTGCCAATCAGTGAAAAAAAACTCAAAGATACATGAAGGATCATCCACTTTAGCGAAGATTTAAACATGTTTTATAAAACCTAAACCTCTAGTTTACATTAATTATCACTTTCCTCGTGTCGGTTCTGCTCAAAATGAATAATTTACAGTACATTAGCTCAGCTCTATTTCAGTGTTTCTGCTGTCAGCATTCAGTCCCAGCATCTCACCACTGCCCTCTATCTGCAGCTACTGGAACAACAACACTACCCTGAGCTACAGTCAAACTGTTTATTTGTATGAGTATTTGATCTGTTTTATGAAAAAAAAAGTCTTTGTATTTATGATGCCTGTCATGTTGTAAATTTATATTCACAAAACTGTTGCTATGGTAACTTTTAATGGTGTAGTTCTGTTTAGATTTTTAGAGAGCCGATGGTTGTAAATAGTTCAAGACTACACATGTGCCTCGATTACACATATCTAGAATACATGTGCAGTTTTCAAGTGTGTGTGTGTGTGTGTGTGTGTGTGTGTGTGTGTGTGTGTGTGTGTGTGTGTGTGTGTGTGTGTGTGTGTGTGTGTGTGTGAATGAGTGATAAGGAAAAAAAAAAGAGGGAAAATACTGAATAAAAGAGATTGCTTCCCTGCCTGTCATGTAGCTGACTAGTCATGTTTCCCAAGCTGTCCTCGTCATTTTTATACGCTGAAACATGTCAAAGCAACGCATCCGTGTCAAAGTCTCATTTGTTACAATTAAAAGTTTGTATTGACACTTTTAAGTCCTTTTTGTCATTGATTATTTTATTGTTGTTATTTTTATATCTCTACATCCAGGATGATCAGCTTTGAAGACTCAGAAAATATAAATATTTCTGTAAGATTTTGCGAGTATAACTATAAGTAAATTGTACTTGCTCCGTTTAAGTCTGCAGGGCTCTGCTTCTTGTACAGAGTCCCATATGGTAAGGTTATAGTTAATTAGGTTGATGTTTTCTATATGCATGCATCATCTCAGTGCCTTCACCATATGGATACTGTTTACCACAGAGCTCTCTAACTCACCACTGCTCCCTGTTATCTTAAGGCCTGCACTGAGTACACTCGAGCTAAATCACTGGCCTGTCCTTATTTATAAAGCAATTCTTAACTTGCTCCCCTCTTCTTTATGTAATCTCATTAACTTGAAAAACGCTGGAGGCTACAGTCTTTGCTCTGTGACTCAATCACTTGACTTATTTTTGCTTTTCTGTCCCTAGAGTGCCTCTCGAAATGGGTAAAAGGAGTTTTAGGTACCCTGATCCTGCAAGAGAATTTAGGCCTGAGGGAGCTTGTTTCTCTGATTCTGTTTAAAAAGCAGATTAGATTGTTAGAGGAGGAAGCATCAGGCTGTAGAGGCTGTATGATAAAGGAAATGTTGACATGTCCGCAATGATTACATTTTGTATGCCACTAACTTTGTCTAAGCATACAGCTGCAAATCTTGGCCAGGACACTCATGTAAAAGAGATTTTTAATAGCATGTTGCTCCTTTATCTGTGTTAGTTTTACTAGATGTCAGAGCCTAGTGATTTAAACAATAAACAAGTTCATAACAATATCCAAGAAGGATGACCGAATATGTATGTAACACCAAAATCATTTAACCAATATGATGATTTGTGCGTGCATGCGTGTGCGAATGGGAGAGCTATCCACACCATTTGATTATAACCAAGACATTTAGGTGTATATATTAGTTATTTATTTTTAATTTTAACACCCTTTTCAGGCTTATTTACATGGTCCAAAAATGTCATATAGATATTAAATAGGTTTATTATTATAATTACGAGCTGGCACATCTTCTGTATGAATTTGGGATTATTTCTCTGTGAAAAGTGATTTTTACTGTACAGTTTGTCAAACTAAGCCTGAGGAGTCAACAGCTACAGTTTCAGGCAGTGGATTACTCCTCATCATCCTCATCATCATCATCTTCCTCATCATCATCATCATCATCATCATCATCGGTGTCCTCCTCATCGTCATCATCATCAGTGTCCTCCTCATCATCTTCATTATTGTCCTCCTCTTCTTCTTCCTCCTCGTCATCGTCGTCATCGTCATCATCATCATCATCATCGTCATCATCATCTTCATCATCGTCATCCTCAGTGTTGACTTTACCGGAGAGCACGTCCTCAATCCAGTCCTCCAGCTCCTGTGCGGTGGGCAGATCCTCTTCATCGTCCATCTCCATCCACACGCTGTCGGCCTGTTCACAAACATGCAGAGAGGAAAAGTCAGAAAACATCTACACAAACACAACAGACCTGTCAAATCAGACAAGAAGACTCACATCTGTCACGTTGACGACTCCAATCTGAGGTCTGAACAGGTCCACCTTGAAGGTCTTCTCCCAGTATGGAATCAGCTGTAGAGAGTCAGAAAATTATGATAAGACTAAACAGTTGACGTACAAGACTTCCTGTCAGATAAGACTAGAGTTTGTCATTTGTTCTCACCAGGGGGAAGTCATCAGGGTCAATCCAGATGATACTGAGCTCAGGTACGTGGGTGTTGTCTCTTGCAACCTCCTTCAGGATCTCCAAGAACTCAAAACCATCTGAAGCAAATTCACATATCACTTCAGGTCAGGGTTGGCTATGTCTGTAAATTATGGCCATCAGATACTGGCAAACTCAGGTAAGTCTTGAGCTAACTTCATGCCAGCAGTGGCTTCTTTTTGAATACAGGCATGGGGTTGGTTTCAATATCTATAACTCGCTCTTACCAGGGTCCTCCTCCTCTGCAAAAGCAACAATGTGAATACCCTCGATGTCATCCTCCTGAGAAGAAGAATATCAATGTCAAGTCACTGCAAGTTTCATGCAAAAGTTTTCAGCCCAGCCTGACAGCTGTAACTCACCCAGGTCTCAAACATGTCTTCTGCACGCAGTTTTCTCAAAGTTGGTCTGTTGATTCAAAAAGCAGTAAACTCTGGTTAAAATATGCATTTCTCATAGTAAACAAAATAAGTTATCTAACACTTATTATTTATTGGAGCATTAAGCTCAATTCTGCCCTTTATTTACCGTCTGTGCTCAGTTATGAATTCGACCAGCTCCTCTTCTGAGTGAGGCTTGCCTGGGATGGTGACAGGCTCCTCCATGAAGGGCTCGTAGAAATCTACCTCGTTCAACTTCAGAGTCAGCTCCTTTGCCACCTGTAGCAACGAAGACAGATCAGTCAAGAACAGTCATAACTTATTTGTCTGTTTATTTGTTTATCAGCTACTTACAGATTTCTCAAATGTTGCAAAGAACTTAATGTAGGGCTGGAACTGCTCTGCGGCCTCTTTAAACGCCTCATAGTCTGAGGATAAAAGAGGGGATGTCAGCTCACATGTTTCCTGCAGCAGGTTTTTTTTTTTTTTTTTTTCGCTATGCTCTTGTTTTCCTGATCACACATCTGTTTGTGTTGTCTTTTGCTGTTGTATACATGACATTTGCACATCAGGGAGCGGAAATAGCTGAACTTTGACCTCCCCTTAATCCTCCCACAGTTGGTCAGATGGGATTCAGCTCTACTCTACTCTCACTTCTTCCACAGCATGTGAGACTGAGCAGGGCAGCGGCAGCTGTGAGAGCAGCAGTGGTAAAATTGGATCTGTAAATCCATGGAGATGAGGGGGTTAAAATGCACTTCTATTATAATGAAGGGCATGAGCCGCACACAGCTCATCCCAGACTCTTCCAACGAGGCAGTGAGCTGCACTCAGATGGTAAAAAACATACTTTACATGTATCATTCATGTTGACAACCTCACACACTCACGCTCAGAGTCCTCGTTCTTGAAGTAACCAATGAGGCGGATGTCTTCTTCCATTCTGTCAAAGGCTCTCAGCTCCAGAGCGTTTCCAATCACCTCCACTGGTTCCTCCAACAGCTACAGACAGATGACAAGATGAATAAGAGCACTGGGCACAGGTTTTTTTGTTGAAAATGATGGGAATCTGTCCTGAAACCCTTTACTTACATCTAATAAGAACTCCACCAGAGTGTTCGCAGAGAGAAAGCCGTCAAACTCGATCACATGATCAGCCTTGAAAACATATACGCTGCCCTCCTCTTCCAGGCCTGTGATTAAGAGGTGAAATGACGTGGGTTTAAACTTTTTTACTTCAGTACCCTTTAAATATGTCCAGACAGGACCCATTTTTTCTGACGTCATGCTGAGAACAGAATGCTCTGTTTTAATGTTGCAATCAAATATTTGTAAGTCCAACCAGATAATCTTGGTGTGAGCTAGTAGGGTGACAATGTTAACCTGTTCAGTCAACTAAACACACACATCCATGGTAAGCACTGAAACAGCATTTTAGCTTCTCATCCCAAATATGGAAAAATCCAAGAGAAATGGCCACTATGAGAAAATGGTGTATTGTGACTTGGTCAGGACTTACCAAGCTTTTTCGCCACTTTTATATCCTTGTGGGAGTCGACCATGCCAAAACCTATGTCCTTCTCCTCCAACACCTGAGCTGCGAGCTGTAGACAGAAAGAAAAGAAAGACATTTCATGTAGGGCTAAGTGGTAAGCAGGTGACTGTACATGTAGAAAGTATTTAGATTCTGAGCACTGAAGAAATAAATCCTAGATCCTGAAAGAATAGCATGTTAAAGTGGATTTTGTGAAGGGAAAGAGGGATGTGAGTTTGACCTAAGGGCCAGGTAAGGTCTGAGGAAAAGAAATAATACCAAAGTTGGCAATATGACAGAGGCGCTAAAGCTGCCTGGGGGCACCGGAGACACAGTTACATAATCATCCAGACTGCCTTGATCTAAATATAACCAGAGCAGGAGGAATTATTCTGGCAATTGATCCATGAAGTACAGTAGGTGAGCTGAGAGAGAGTCTCCTGTTTTAGATGTGCTTCTTTCGGTTATCTTTGTTACCTTAAATTCAGGGCAAAAAGCTCAGGAAGAAAGAGAAAACTGTCAAAAAGAGGTATCCTCAGAGTGTTTGATCAGACTTTTGACATAACTATTGTCCGGGATGTGTGTTATATTTAACCAGGTGTTGGACAGATTCTTTCATTCATGGAAATATGGCCAATATTCAAGTAAAAAAACATCTTTAATAATGCATCAGAGCTATTTTTAGCATTTAACATCAGAGTTAGCTTGGAAATAGCTGAAAGCCAATAGTCTGTTACTATTGTTAGTCTTACATGTCAACGAGAAAGGGTTTAAACATAACTTAGATAACTTTGGCTTGAAACTGACCTCTCTTTTATAACAACTTTGGCTAGAAGGAGGCTGAATGCTAACCTTAGCATGAGCCTAAAGCTAGCTAAAGGGTTAGTGGGTTTAGCTGGCCTTATGTCTGATTTCCCTCTTTATTTTTGCTCTCTGTTGTTTTTTTTTTAGTTTAGATGCAAAAAAATACTATATTCTGCATTTCTACAATTTTCCTCCTACAAATGTATTTTATGATTTTACTGGACTGGCTTTTTTGAGTAATAGCAGGACCACAATTACAAGAAAATCAGCTTTGTTGTAAGAGATACCGAGAAAAGTAAAATAGCTAAAAATGCGTATTTATTGCAGTGAAACTTGTGTTGTTATCTGAAATACTAAAATTAATCTGCTCAGATTTGACTGTGTCTGGACAGTGGATTGGAAGAAAATGTGTGGATGCATGTCTGCTTAGGGCCTCAGCACAAAATTTCCTCTTAGGCATGTCTGAATTTCTCCTGACAATTGTGTAGTAAATCAAATAGGCTTGAAACATATTAATATAAACCAAAGTTGTTTTAGAAAAGCAATAAAATGTGTTTCAATCTACATTTGCCTTTGTACACAAGTAATCATTAGGCCTACAGCATAAAGCCGACTGTGATCAGCTGTAACATCTTTAGGGTGCATTGTTTCCATGCCTGTCTCTACACTAACATGGCCCACCTGTGCTGTGTAAAATAAGAGAAGCTAATATCAGGACTTGGATCAGATTACCTTCTGCAGATCAGAGAGCAGTTCACTCTCAGCCGCTTGTAACCTGATACAGGGCACAGTGCACAATGTTTCCTACTATGTGGGATTCAAACAGAGGGATTCACATGAGCTATCAGTTCAAGATGTATCTAGCTGATTAGCTTAGCTGTTTTGTTGCCTTTTTTAATTAACCTTAAGCGAACTGGGTCCACCAGAGCCTACAATAGAGGAGATTATATTTCCCCCTTGAAAACTACATTTCACCCCTGAGCTCTTATCTTGTTTTTACCAGATTGTAGCATTCCCTAGATACAACACGCACTAATAGATTTGCAAATAGAGACAGCATGATGTAGTAGCAGACACTAGGCTGAAAAAAACATGCATCAATCCTGGTGAAACTCACTGTTACAGAAATTAAAGCAATACGATTTGAAGTTTTAGACTCCAGCAGCTCTTATTTTTAGACTCAATACTTCACATCCACTACCACTTTTACACATATACCATTCATTCCAAACTATGACAACTATTGTATATTTTTATGTGATATAACCTTTTATTGAACTGTAATCAGTCCATCATTTTACCTCCAGCACCAGCTCAGTCATCTGGTGTTGCTTCTGCAGCTCCTTGCTGTCCGGTATGGGCTCATGGTAGTACAAGCAGAGCATGCTGTGCTTTTTCAAGGCTTTCTTGTAGTTCTTGTCATTGACATCAAGGACCCGGTCTTTCCCGTCATACTGTGGGAACTCCAGGCCTTTTTCAGCTGGGACCAGAGGCAGTAGGCTCAGGCAAGGGAGCAGGAACAACCACAGGGATAGCATGGTGCAGAATAACCACACACCCCCAGAAGGTCAGAGTGAGTTTTAGTTTCACAGAATCAAACTGCGATGAAAAAGGTCACCAAAGCCCTGTGACAGGAAACCTTGAAGAAAGCTGAAGATAATTGTCAGCAGCAGTTCTCAAGCAACCCAAGCTTTGCAGAGGAATCCAGACTTTACAGGCATCCTCAGGACCTTACAACTCTTTTATCCACTGTGGTCACTCTTCCATGCTTTTCTCTGCAGAAATAAAGGCAAAAGAGGAGCACTGTCGGCCCTGTGAGGTTCTGGTGGGGGTGGATACCATACATAGCAGCAGTGCTCTCCCCCTACTTGTGCAGGACAGGCCCATTTTTAGGAGACCAGTTGTTTGAAAGCTAAAAATAAAACCGCAAGTGAGAAAGAGAGATAGTAGAGGACAACGGTCGGGGGCTCAATAGTGAGTACAATCCCTCTCTTGCCCTGTGATATCTCTGTGAGGGAGTCAGTGATGTTTGACAGTGAGTGTAACCCCACATTTGCAGGTTCAGTTCTTTAGATGTGTTTGAGTGAAAACACAGAGGTTATGTGTTTTGGTGCTGGGGCAGAAAAACGGTCATGTATTTTGGTTAGGCAGCCCGTTATATCAACAGGTTTGTGAAGGGCAACACAAATAACCTGTGTGTAGCAGATTTACTGCAGATGTGGTCTCATGAGTATTGAATGTAGAGTATGCTGTCTGACCATGAACTTCAAATGTATCTATTCTCATATAATAAAATGAGGAAAATTTCAGTATCCTTTACATTTGGTACTTAAAAAGTCAACACTGAATGTGTCTTGTTATTTCTTAACAGTCTTTCTCATTCTTGTACCTCATAAATTGACTCAGATATCTTGATCGTTTTAAGATTTAATCCTCATACCTCAAGTTTAAACCTCAGTCAAAGCAGCTGTGGCCTCACTTCCACTTAGTCCGTCTTCATCAGTCTTCTTCATCTACACCACCAGGGAAAAGTGCTCTGCTGCCTATGAAAGGCATCTTCTGCCCTCTGCAGGTGGAAAGCATAAATGTCCTATGTATGCTGAATTTGTTACAGTATTACTCCTTTTAAATTAGTAACCTTGTGCCTGGCTCTCCCAAATTCAGAGTATAAACATCTTCGCAAGAATTAAATTCTACAATTAAGGGATAAAGTGCATTTGGGGAAAAAAGGCTTAGAAAAACTTGGTTTCATGCAGTGGGCATTTTGTGAAATAAAGTGATCGTAAATAGGTAACAGCTAAATCTTAGGACAACAGTTTGGCGATGTTGTTAAATTCTTTTTGGGGCTTTTTATCTGGTGTTAACTTATACAAACTTTCAAGCCACTCTGTTCTCAAATGACAAAAGCCTTAAGAGCATTTGAATACTGGCACTCATCGAAAAACTTGAGTTTAGAGCAGCAAGTATTATGAGTGTACCTCACATCTATGGAAGTTTCTCAGCTACAAGTCTAACAGAAAACTGTGTGTAAATGTGGAATACAGGTACTCATTATAGTCTATGCAACTCCCAAAGCTCCCCATCAACTATTAACACACTGTCTTCCAACTCCTGACAATGTCTAATCTAGTGATGGTGGCTTTTAATGGAAGGGAACATGCATTGTTAGTAGATATAAAGTGTTTTTTTCATGTTATCAAAAACAAAATGTTTTTTATACTTTGTGCAAAAGTGATTAAACAGAAAGACAGCAGAACCATATGTGTCCAGGATGACCTTGGATTATTCCAGAGGGTTTCAACCTTACCCAAGTGCTGACAACCATGAAAATGACTTTTCTTCAGCTTCTCTGTAACAGTCTTTGGCCAGGTTTTCAAAGGCTGCTTCATGTAACCAGTCTGGAGATCAAAACACCTTTCTGCTAACAAATTAAGAGGCTCTGACAGGGAGCCTCTCTGATCAGAGAAGCAGAGTCATTAACTCGCAGAAACACAGTCAACCAAATCTTTTCCTTTTGACTTTTTTAATCGTTTCTGCTTGGCTGGACAGCAGGGGGAGTTTTGAGTGAATGAGAGAAAGGGAGGATTTTGATCAGTGGCGATTGCTGTAAGACTGCAAGGGAAGCTCGGCTTCCCTTAAAATGTCACCCCCCCCCCCCCCCCCCCAAAAAAAAAAGAAAAAGTTGTGAAATACGTACGGCTGTGTGTACATTTCATTAACTAAATACGCACTAGAAAGCCTTCAACTTTTGTTCAGACACTGTGCTAAGAAGCTGATAATCACAGGTAACCGGCATAACTTCGTTCTCATTCATCCTCGCAGCGCCTCAGCGCTTCAAACAGTCGGACGCTGGGCTTCTGCTGACGTCAATGTGGAAGCTTAAAGTGGGTTGTTCCAGCAGCGAAACTAGACGCTCATTGGATAAATGCTGGGCTTTGTCCCGCCCAATGGAAGCTAAGCTTCACTGGAGTTCTATGGCGAGAGGGCGGTCCCGACTTTCTCCCGGACTCCAAGCTTCTGCATTCATGATTGGATGAGCTGTCTGAGGCGAAATCCTTTTTTGATTGACAGCTAAACAAGCGAATCAGCGATCTTGAAGAATAAAACATCTACCAGAGCATTTTCCAAGTCATTCATTCCGTTGTTCTTAACTGCTCCAGAGACTTTACAGATCCTCAGCGACTTTTGTCTTTGTTAAAAACGACTGCCGTTGTGTTTGGCGACTCTGTTCTGTTACATACTAATAAACAAATACAATTATGATGTAGGCCAGAAAAATGAGCTTCCCCTCCTTGAAAGACCAGCAGCCGCCACTGATTTTGATATATACTTAAATTATCTCCATAGTGCTACAGGCCATTTCAATCTGCCTCACAATATCTAAACTCACAAAAGCAAGTCAGAGGTTGTAGATATAAACCTGAACTGTTCAAAAGTGGCTGGATAGTTTGTTAATTCACCTGTAATTCTTTTTCTAAACCAACAGAGGGCGCAGCATGCAAGAGAAAAGTGCTGAAAAGTCTGTGGCAGTTTTACAGCAGTTTCCTCCACCAGGTATTATGTAACATATTTGGGCTTCACCAGCATGTATTCACACGTCACCATAGGGATATGATGATGCATCCATATTTTGGCATTGCTTCAGAGTAGCTCTCTGTTTAATATAAAGGGCAATCAGGTCTTCTATGGGTGAGGCATAAATCAAATTGAGTTTTAGTTTGAGGTGAAATGAGGTCGGTGTCAATCTCAAAGCTGCACCTTTAAGTCATTAGAAGTCAATTGTGTTGCTCAATGACACTTTACGAGAATGCCTGAAACTGGATCCAGCAATTGAAGGGTGCTCTACCAGAGTGGCTCCCCCCCTCGGAGCCGCACTGGAGAAACACTAGACTCCCACTACTTTTGATTATTCCCAGATCATTTATGTTTTTTCTCTGTGGTGCCAGCGGGTGGACGCTGTGTTAACTATCTTCTCTGTAAAGTGAAACAGAAGAGCACAAACACAAGGAAACAAATACACTGAGAGAGAGAAAATCGAGCTGAAAGATTATCTTCAATAATAAGGTTCAGAGGAGGGAAACAGTATGACCTGAATATGTTGGATATTAAATCCAAAATTTTTAACTACTAGATGAAGGTTGAAAAGTTAAAAAAATGGATGGAATTGCAAATTACATCTGCCTCTTTACCTCTCAACTCATTTTTCACCACAGCCTCCCGGTATCTCATCTCAGTTAGAAATCTGATGTTTCACAACGACATGTTTCTTTAAAAGATCAGGAATGTCTTTGTTGGCTTTGTGTTATAAAGCATCTTACAACACAATGTGTGTTGAAATGAACAGACAGCAGGGGACCCAAAATTCTGGTGCTTTCACAAGAGAGGATACTACACTTAACTGTTTCCTCCTTCCAGTAGTATGTATGAAGTTAAATCACTGAGGTCAAGTCGCTCTGCAGAGGTTTAATAAAAATTTAATGCAAAGATAGTCATTGTCTGCAACATACCAGCAGCTAAGGTCAAAAGTAAGACAACATTAAAACACTTGCTCATTCTGCAGTGTATCTTGGGAATTTTAGTGTGAGACATGAGATGATATAGTAACAATTTAGAAATATATATATGTTTGAAAATATATGTGAAGTTATAAAAGAAGTGGAAATCTGGAAAGTTTATTTGAAGTAACCAATCATATTTGCATGAAATATTACAAAACACATCAAATCGTCTTTCCATAAAATAGCATTATAAACATAGTGAACGATGCCTAACTGTGCCTGTCAGCCTTACGTCTGATTACTGGATTTATAAAATAATGTAGTTTCATAATATACTAATATTATGTAGCATAAAGGTCCTTCTGTTATGCAAGATACATCTGGGACAGCCATGTAACAAATGAGATGAGGCACTCCCCTGGGACACATGGATGGTGAATTTAAGGCTTTACTTTACTTTCTTTTTTTAGATTATAATGCATCAGAAAAACTGCATTCAGACAATGCAACATCATTGCTTTGGTCAGAGTAAGAGGTTGAATAGTCCTAACACCCAAAGTAACCTTCATGATACATTATGATGATATGATATGATACGATACAATTCGATACGATACAATTCAATATGTTTACATAGATATGGCACAATGAAATGGCATGCAATACAAAAAGATACAATTTGATACGATATGATATTACACTTAAAGGTATAATGTAAGAAGGTGTGATACAATAAAGTAAAATTTGGCATGAAATGATGTTACATAATATGATATGATGCAATATGATTATATGGTATGATACACTTGATCGTCACAATTTGTTTGCTGACTGTCTGCACATTTTGAGGTGCTGTTTAACACAAATAATATCTAAGGAGAAAATCACAAAACACAACCACAACACCCACATTTATTTCTGTTAGTAACCTAATCATGATAACTGAAGAAGAAAAAAAATCAAAAAAATTAGAAAACAACTTACAAAGATTGCCTTAAGCTGGAACACCTTTACATTCAAGTATGCTGCATCATATGCAAACTGGTATTTTAATGTGGCTATAATGACAGAGCCCACTGATGCGGTTAATCTGACTCAGGCTATCCTATACCGAAAAATTCATGGTCAAGGAGAGTTGCATAAAAGGCTAATGTGATGCATGATATTAATTACAGAGTAATGTTGAAACAGTTCTCAGAGAAATGTTGTGAATTGTGAAGTAACCCCCCACGTGCTCAGCTGAGGACGGCAAAGCAATGACTTCACTAACCAAAGGCCACCTGACATTTTCACAGTCCTTGCTGGATTCAGCATCAGTGGTCAGAGACTGACCAGAATGACAACAGGAGCCCCCAGGTGAGGGTGACATATGGCAGAGAGAGCGGTGAGTGCGTGTGAGTGTTACATAAATTCTGAACAGCAGAATCCCTCACAGAGTCACGGTATACTGTGCCTACTTATCTATGCACGCAGAGGCAGGAACCCACTCATGTGAAGTTTGATGTGTTACCTCACATATTACGTGTCTGTGCTTGTGCTTGTGGGCATCAGGGTTATGACAGTAATCAACTCATTGTTTGGTGGGATTTAGTGTTCAGCATTAACAAGTAAATACAAACTTAATTCAGTTTTTATGTGTGCGAAAATTTTCATTGGCATGAGCGTTTTTAGGTGTGTGAAAATTTTCATTGGAATGAAAGGACGGATGATAAGGACTGATGACTGATGTGTTTTGTGAGTCAGCAGGCCAGGACAGGACAGAGTCATTGTACTTGACTTTCCCTTTTGAGTGAGTTTCTTGATTCCCCAGCCCCCTTCATGGTGCAGGTAAAGATCACTCCTGTTGCCTTATTCAGCCACTCTGTTTGTATATACATCAAAATTCTGTCCAGGAAGGGCAGCATCAACACAGGTTAAGTCTTATTTATGATAAATAAGGGTTGGTAAGCTTTGAAATCATCATGAGATTCATAATGTAACAGAAACCATTCAAGCAAAATGAAAACACACGTCTACAGGCACAAAAAGGGTGTAAGC